TGAATCAAATACTCTCATAAAACCATAGAAAGTATCAATACATCGAATGTATCTAAAGAAAGCTCATAAACAGTACATCATAGAGCACTAAATACAGAGCAATGGGGCTATCTTCCCTATCATAAAACATTTGTGTCTTTCGATAAGTCCTTCCGGGAATTTTTTGTTTTTGGAGTTCAGGAGGAGAATGTAAAGGTGTGAAACGGGCTAGCCTGAGCCTGCGATCTGAGGGTTTCGGGTTCAAGCGCCGTATGGGTTGGACCGAAACGGGTCGATCAGCCTGTTCAAATCCTTCTATATAGTTTTTTTTTTAGAAAAAATATCTACAAATTTTTGAATTTGTAGGTGCGTACTTGTATTTAATACAATAATTTCTGAACTTGCATTTTTTAACATAATAATTTTTAAACTTATATTTTTTTAACACAGTAATTTCTAAATTTTGCTCTGGTCAATTAGTAGTATGTACGACTATGGAATAATTAAACAAGTTTAAGAATTAATATGTTCAAAAATATAAGTTCAGAAATAAATAGGTATATCTACAGGTTTATGAATTAATATTACACCAAATTATAAGTTTATGAATTTTCAGATATATTTTTTTTTATTTTTTTTCATTATTTTATTTGAAAAAATTAATCGGATTTTTGGATCGATCCGAAAACTCAAATTAAATCTAACCTGAAATTCCGATTTTTTATGAGCTAATATATTTAAGTTCGAACTCCGATATTTTTTGGATGAGTTTGTGTCTAGTTTTGGACTAAAATTGACATCCATCATTTTGAGTTGGTTATTTTCGGATTTGGTTATATCGTTTTTAAGAAATCTACACGGTTCAGTTCTTATATTAGATTTGATTTGATTCGATTTGTTTTTAATTTGATTTGGATTTGATTTTTATTAAAAATATTAATTTTTAAAATATTTTTTTTAGTTTTTTGTTTTAATTTTTGTTTATTATGGTTGAAATTTGGTTTCTTCAATTTTAAAGAAATTATAATCATTCGATTTTTATTTTGGTTACCATTGTATATTATTCGGTTCGGATAGATGTAATTATTCGTTTATTAACTAAAATTGGTAATCTTGTTTTTTTCTCGTAATCTAATATTTTTTTTAGAATTGTATCATAAAATCTTTTGAAATTAGTTCACCCAACAGGTAACACACGGGAATAAGCCTATATAAGGGGAAGTCCACCCGCACGAAGAGCATGACGGCAGTCCCATCCGGACACTTCTTTTTACAAGACATGACGACGAAGAAGTGAACTCGGGCGGTTCCCATGTGATACGATCTCGGATCGAAATTCTCTAATTAGGCGATGGAACCAACCAAAATTTCAAAATCAACTCGTGATCGAAACCTAGGCCCAGACATTCCAAAGAACCGTCCTAAACCCCTACCAAAATAATGATAGAAACCTAGACCCAGACATTCTAACGAACCGTCCTAGGTTTAGGACGGTTCTTTGGAATGTCTGGGCCTAGGTTTCGATCACGAGTTGATTTTGAAATTTTGGTTGGTTCCATCGCCTAATTAGAGAATTTCGATCCGAGATCATATCATTTGGTATCAGAGCTTGATTCTCTATATTAGGATTATCCTATCTCTATGTCTCGTTAAACTCTGTAACCATGATAATGTTGTATTATTTGTTCACTCGTTTGGAGTATGGAAGAATAAACGGCATTTCCTTTCTTTTTATAACATTTTATGTTCGTTTTGACGAGAAATTTGCTAAAGAAAAATTTAATTATATTCATTTATATATCATTTTAATTTTTGTTTGTTGAAAAGAATATGTATAAGCCTTTTATCCGGAAGATATAGATCCCTTCATTTTGCTATACAATTTTTTTTTTTGTGTTTGATCATTTACAAAATTAATTATCTATACAAATTTCTAATATTATTACATTTTTGTAGTGAATAAAACAAAGTAGAGGAACAGTAATTAATTCCATTTATTAGTTGTCGCTTCTTTAAAATGAATAGAAGAAGAGACGGAAGAGTAAATAAAATCCCTTCCCTCTTTTCTCTCTCCCCTTGGTATTATTATTCCCCTCCCCATTTAGGGTTTATCTCCTATTAGCCATCTCTGTTCATATAGCCACTACTTATTTTGTTTACAGTCACCAAAAAATCCTCCCAATTCCATCTGCTAATCAGTGACAAGGGCAAGCAGCCATGTCGCTGAGACCCAACGCTAGGACGGATGTTCGCCGCAACCGCTACAAGGTCTCGGTGGACGCCGAGGAGGGACGACGGCGAAGGGAGGACAACATGGTTGAGATCCGGAAGAGCAAGCGCGAAGAGAGCTTGCAGAAGAAGCGGCGCGAGGTTCTTCCGGCCTCTCAGCAGCCGCAGTTCCCTCCCTCTGCCGCTCCTGCTCTTTCCGCCGTCGAGAAGAAGGTATGTGTCGGGATTTTTTTTTTATGATCTAGGGTTTGAACGCGCGGGATCTAGTTTTACCCTTCCCCGATCTAGAATTAGGGTCTGGGTTGGGGCTTTTGTGGGATTTGTGGTTTTGTGGGGCCTGAATCGGCCATTTCGATTGTATGTTCAGTTGGAGAGCTTGCCCTCCATGGTATCTGGGATTTGGTCGGACGACAGGAATTTGCAGCTTGAAGCAACTACTCAGTTCCGGAAGCTGCTGTCTATAGGTATTTCTCGTTTCTGTTTGTGTATATCTAATTGTACAGTCAAACTAAACTTTATACAAGAACTACGAATTTATGTGCAAACCATGTCTGATATTTTGGAAGAGCGAAGTCCCCCAATCGAGGAAGTGATACAAGCTGGCGTTGTGCCCCGGTTTGTGGAGTTTCTCAGGAGGGAAGATTATCCGCAGCTCCAGGTTTGGGAATCTGATTTTTTTGGTCACCTTTCGTATATTATTCATGCTTGTTGATTTAGTGTTTGTTTGCGACTTAAGTTTGAGGCTGCTTGGGCATTGACGAATATTGCATCCGGAACTTCGGAGAATACAAAGGTGGTGATTGATCATGGTGCTGTTCCTATTTTTGTTAGGCTGCTTGCTTCCCCAAGCGATGACGTGCGAGAACAGGTAAGCATGGCCATGGCTTTCTTCTGAAAGAATAAATTGTGTTAACTTTTTATCTCTCTGAATAAGAATTTTTGTAAGTTTTTTGTAATGGGTCATGCTCCTGAATTTGTAGGCGGTATGGGCTTTAGGGAATGTTGCTGGTGATTCTCCACGGTGTCGTGATCTTGTCCTGAGTCATGGAGCGTTGATGCCATTGCTGGCACAGCTGAATGAGCATGCTAAGCTCTCGATGTTGAGAAATGCTACTTGGACACTCTCAAATTTCTGCAGGGGCAAACCACAACCTCCTTTTGACCAGGTTTCTCTTCTTTTACTCTCTGTTACCTTCCGAATGAATGTTTTTCCCTTGGTTGATGGCTTAGTTACTAATATGTTGTGAGATAACAGGTTAGACCAGCACTTCCAGCCCTCGAACGTCTTGTTCATTCGACTGATGAGGAAGTCTTGACGGATGCTTGTTGGGCACTCTCTTACCTCTCCGATGGCACGAATGACAAAATACAAGCTGTCATTGAGGCAGGTGTTGTTCCTCGACTTGTGGAGCTTCTACTGTGAGTATTTATTCCTGCAATTTCTGTTATCTACTTTATTTGTACATCAACGTTGTTTGCGCAAATGAAAAGTAAAGTTTCTTACTTTTACAGGCACCCATCACCGTCTGTGCTCATACCTGCCCTTCGTACTGTTGGGAATATTGTCACAGGAGATGATGTACAGACACAGGTTAGGGCATCTAAAAGTGCTTGTTCATTTCTTTTTGGTTTTGTCATTTGAAACGAGCTATATATCCTGACAAGGTCAGCTTATGTGAAAAATTTGCATTGGTGATGCAAACAATGAGACATCACTGGCTTAGAGATTTAGCTGAAAAAAAAAGCCAAGGAATAGTGAGCTGTGCTGGAAATTTAACCCTAAGTAGCATGTTAGTCCTAATTAGATTTGACCTTCCCTGAATGTGATATGTTCCCCTGACATGGAATATCCTTTCTGTCTTCTCATTTCGAATTTGATTCTGCCCCAACGTCAAGCATATTTCTTCACTGATCACTCAAGTTCAGTTCCTCTTATGGAGTTCATAATCTTGGATTTTTGTGTCTTGCTTCCTGCTTGTCCTCTATTGGCAAAGTTTAGGGTATATTTGTTTACAATATGTATATTGTATGCCGTTTGATGCTACTGGTTTTTCCAGTAACTAAGTCCACAAGCTAATGATTTGAGATGCGTGTTTTTCTGGCATAATGATATCAACCTCAAATGTGGCTCAGTACTTATTTTTTTCCCCTTTTTTCTTTGTTTGGGACTGAGTTGATGAACCTTTGTCCTGTAGTGTGTGATTAGTCATGGTGCACTGCCTTGCCTTCTGAGCCTGCTGACGCATAATCATAAAAAGAGCATAAAAAAGGAAGCTTGCTGGACAATCTCAAATATCACCGCTGGAAACAGGGAGCAAATTCAGGTGAGTTTTTTAGAAAACCATAAAGCAGAGTTTGTTTCTGATCAGCTTTAAGTTTTTTCCTGAGCTCGTGGAACATTTGGAACTTTTAAGATGGTGCACGTGCCAGAAATTTTTTCTTCTGGAAAAATTGGGGTTTCTGAAGTGTTTAGAAGCCTTATGCTGGTTCAAATTTCTTGAGTATGCACTTGTCTAATGAATGGTTGCTTGGCATAAGAGAAGGTGATCTGCTCTATTGGAAAAAAGAAAAGGTTAGCACTGTCATTGTGTAGTTGAGTCATGTTCTGTTGTGCAGGCTGTGATTGAAGCTGGTTTGATTGGCCCCCTAGTCAACCTGCTTCAAACTGCTGAGTTTGATATAAAGAAAGAAGCTTCCTGGGCAGTTTCAAATGCTACTTCAGGCGGTTCGCACGAGCAAATTAAGTATGAGTCTTGAATATCAACATTTGACTTTCTAGGATTTTCCTTGAAGCAATGAATAAAATGCCCTCTTTTCGGTGCTTTAGGTACCTGGTTGAACAAGGATGCATAAAACCATTGTGTGACCTTTTGGTGTGCCCCGATCCAAGGATTATCACTGTCTGTCTAGAAGGATTGGAGAACATTCTGAAAGTTGGGGAAGCAGAAAAGACGATGGGTAACTCTGGGGATGTAAACTATTATGCACAATTGATCGATGATGCCGAGGGGTTAGAAAAGATTGAGAATTTGCAGAGTCACGATAACAATGAAATCTACGAGAAGGCAGTGAAGATTCTTGAGACATACTGGTTGGAAGAGGAAGATGAGACAGTACCACCTGGTGAGGGTTCAGGACAAGGTTTTCAGTTTGGCGGTAATGAAGTGCCCTTGCCATCAGGTGGATTCAACTTCAAGTGAATGGTAAATTATCCCATCCAATCATATCATGTTCTTCGATTGATGATTTTACATAAAACTTTTTTTGCTGCGAGTAAATTTTGACCACGGGCATTATGGAGTAGGGAATCTGAGTGTGTGTAAGTGCTGGCTTGACTTTTGTTACCCTAATATTAAGTGATTAGTTCCAAATTAAGATACGATTCCTTCCCTTGATATAACTGGTTCGTAAACTTGGACCCGTGTGTGATTTGGATGAACTTTGCAGGGGATTTGTGTGGTGATTACAAGGAGGATGATGGTGATGGTGATGGTGATGGATGGATGGATGGTTGTGTAAGATGCGTCTTTGATTATTATATTTATATATGATAATCTTCAAAGTCAGGCGGCTCTCTCGTCTCGTGTGCCTCTCAGTTGGGTCGGGTCCGAGTTGACATTGTGTACGGATATGTTGTTTAGCTTGTCAGAGTTGCGAGTGGTTTTCTTCTCTTTTATTTTTGTCGGTGGACCATAAATATGTGTACAAAGGGAAATGATTTCAGTTGTTGGTTGGAATCATATAAAAAGGCACTTCGGGCCCAATGGGCCTGGAACATAGAATTTGATATGAAGCCCAGATTTCTTAGCATGCGCCACGTGTCTCACTTTCACTGCCTTTCCTTTTTCATTTTCCGAATTTCACCCGCCACCTCCACTCAGTCCCCCGCCTCTTTTTTCCTTTTCTTTTTTGTCCCTTTCCATTTTCGGTTCCTCTGTTTTTTTTGGCGGGTGTTTCAAACGTAATTATGGAACCCGCCTAAGGCTATTCTGGTAATTTAGCAATCATAAATCCTAGGGTTTCCTCCCCGCCTCGTCCCCATTATAAAATCTCTCTCCTTTTGTAATCTAATCTCGTCATCCCTCCTCTCACTCTCGCGTCTCAGTCTCACTTCCTGCTCTGATCTTCTCACACAACCCAGCGAGTGTCTTCCCCTGTTCATCGGCTCCGCTTCAGAAAATCCCAACTTCAGCTCTAGTTTCGCGTCATCGTGATCTTATTAGTTGTGAGGAGATCCAGAATACATGCCATGAATGTGAGTACTCCTAACTTCTACGCCTTTTCTGATCTGTTTTCCCAGTGGGTTCTGTTTTCTGACTCCTCCCCCCTCTTCTTACGATCGCAGATGTCAGAATCAGAGGAAGCTAAGAGGATGCTGGACTCCGCGGAAGATCTGTCCGAGGAAGGTTACGAAAACTGCAGCAGTAGTAACAGTAATGGCGGTGATACGAAGAAGACTTGCTTTGATTGCGGTACGAGTAAGACTCCACTATGGCGAGGTGGCCCCGCCGGACCTAAGGTAAGATCACGGGTGATTCGGCTAGCTCAGCTTATGGGCAACTAAATTGCCTGAAATGTTAGAGAAGTACTGGGTTCTTAGATTCGATTCAGTAGATTTGGAATCGTTGTAGTACGAGGTATTATTTGCTGCACTGTTTTGGCTGTGTTTATTGCTGTGATCATCTGTGTAGTTTTGGTTAAGTCTTACCTTAGAGATGCTGCTTTGCCTGAAGATCTGACCTTTACTTTTTGAAGCTGTATTGCCCTTTTCTTTTTACGTGATTGAACGTGTGTACTGTATATGATTTATGAATAGTGGGGTTCCAGTCAAACTTAGTGGCTCTAAGATCGCCTAAAAGAGTGATCACCTTGAGTTGGGATTGCCCGTTGTGATGATGATATACACTTAATATGATGTCCGGATCACAAAATTTTATAATGCTATCAGTTTGAGTGTATAGGTCTCTCAGTCATGGTACAATGATGGCCAGATCCTTGTTAAATCTGGGCATGTTTTATCTAATGGTATGATTAACTGTAAATTAGGGTATTGTCAAACTTCGTGCTGGAACTTGTTCCAAAGTGATGGCTAGAAACTTGATTTCCCAATTTGTTAATTTGTTAGAGATGCTTTCCCATGTCAACTCCATAGTCCATGCTTTGTATCAGGTTTATGACTGGTTTTGGTTATGGTTATGGGTTCGTGTGCTATGAAAGATGCATTAATCATATAATCTCTGGTCTCAATCGACATTTCTGTAACTTGTTTGGGCAGTCGCTGTGCAATGCATGTGGGATCAAAAGCAGGAAGAAGAGGCAAGCGGCACTTGGGATAAGAACAGAGGAGAAGAGGAAAAACAGAAGAACAAACAGCAGCAGCAACAATCTAAGCATAGGCAATCAAAGCATGAAGAAGAGCAACCACAGAGACGCGACAAGTTGCAGTAATGAGAAGAAGAAGAAGAAGAAGAGTAATAGCAAAGGATTATTAGAGGATGTAGGGTTTAAGGTTCCGGTAATGAAGAGATCAGCAATGGAGAAGAAGAGGGTGTGGATGAAACTTGGGGAGGAGGAGAGGGCAGCCGTTCTCTTAATGGCCCTCTCTCATGGCTATGTTTACGCCTGAGGCTTGTTTATTTTTTTACTATATAATGTTCTAATGAAATATGTATTTGAGCTCAAATTGTTTCTATCCCCATCTAATGTTGTAAGTGAAGTGTTGTCCCGCTTCTTACTTGTTCTGTTTATTTGTCTCTGACTGAGTTAGGTCAGGTGACAGGACAAATGAAATGGGTTCAAGCCCACTAATTCATATCTGAGAATGTTTATATATATATATATATATTATAATTTATACATAAATCAATGGGATGGTGAATGGTTTCTTTCGGTTTTATTGGGGACAGTTAATTGGAATTCGGCTTTTTTAGAGTTTTGAAAATTCATAATTAAATGGTTATTTGGTTTTAATTGATTTGAAAGGGTTCGATCTGGTTATGTTTAATTAAAATTATAATCAACTAATAAACAAATAAAAAATTCGGTTTCGTTGGGTTCAGATTAGTTATAATAATAAACAAAATAAAATTTAAAATATCGTTAACAGTTATAAAACTATATAAACAATCCAATTATATTAATTTTTTTAATCAGATATATCATAGTACATTAATTGGTGATATATGGACAAATGATTATATCCGATTTATTCAGTTAAGGTTATTCTGAGATTGATTTATTCGATCTACAGTTAATTTGAATTTGATTGCTTCGGTTTTTAAAATTTTATAACCAAATAATTATTTAATTTTAATCGATTTACCTTGGTTCAAGTATAAATATGTGAAATTTTGACAAGGGAAAATAAACGAGCTTATTTTGGGCTTCATTTTATCCGGCCTTTATATAGACCTACAGCCCAAAAGTTAGATGGATCCATCCAAGTGGACTAGACGATTTTCATGTTAAGGAAAATATAAACTAGCAATAGTAATAACGTTATTTAATAATGTTTTTATATTAATCTTGATGAACAGAATATTTGTGATGTGTGAATACAAGTTCGAGAGACATCTGGTGACTGGTGGTGCAATCATTCTGCAAGAGAGATTTTTAAACAAAGTTCTCATGGCAAACATATGCATCGCAACTTTGTTATTATTATTATTATTTGAATTATTTAAATTTGAGTATAGGATCAAGTGCTGACGTGGACGCGGAAGCCGTGAGACTCGCGAATGATTCAAATCGGAGGCAGGTGGGTGGGTCCCGCGACTCGTTCTCATGGGATTTCTTCAACCCCCATTCAAAAACTTTTGTGTTGTTTCTCAATTTTACCCCTTTATAACATATACCTTCTGTTTATGACCGCAATACTTTTGTTAATTCATGAAACCCCCCAAAAGATCTAATTCTTCCAGAAATAAAATGTTTTTTAAAGTAATCCAAGGGCCAGAATTACAGTATTAGATCAAACTATATTAACCGAAACTGGTAGTTAAATTTTAACACCAAATAATTACGTCTTTTTCTATCCAAATAGATCAAATCATTTTTTTGTGCTTTATCAAATAGGTATAGTTATTTATTTATGGTTCTTTCATTGCATCGCATTGAAATATGTTATAAGATTGATTTGAAATTTTAAACATAAACCAAATATAGAAACTGCTAGAACAATGGCCGGAAATTTTGGGTCATATTAGAACATATACAAAGTTTTCGGCTCATTCTGTAGTTTTATATTTTAATTTTTCAAAAAGATTACACGGCACTGAAAAAGTTTGAATTCCAAACGCCTTTGAAATGGCTCAGAGAAGGTTTGATTTGTTTACTTCTACAAAAAAAAAATACTTTTTTTTAAAAGAAGGAAAAAAAACCTTAGCCCAGAGAATTTGAACATACATACATACGTACCATTTCATTACAGCTTCCAGTCAGCTGTTCTGCACTCCAGACGCGGTTGCTTCGTCTCTTCAAATTCTTCGATTTCTTCTTCTTGTCATTCGAAATACCAAGTGTTTACGCAGAAGATTTCTAGGGCTCATGGGTTCTGTTTCCAACTTCGTTCCATGGATTCTCCTGCTTCTACTCACGATTATTCCCCTGGCGGCGTCTCAGTCCGAGGCTCCACCTCCGGAGTCGGCGGATTCCGATCTGTGCAACGGTGTGTTCGTGTCGTACAATTACGTGAAGGGATCTAAGATTCCGCCAAACGACTCGAGCGACCAGCCTTACAGGTTCGAATCGGTGCTCAGTGTGCTGAACAACGGCCGCGACAAGCTCAAGTCGTGGCGGGTCTCCGTCGGATTCGCTCACCGAGAGATCCTGGTGTCTGCATCAAACGCCGTGCTCGCCGACGGCTCGAGCCTTCCTGTGGGCGTCGGAAACGGTACTATTTTCGCCGGATATCCGGCGACCGATCTGAAGACAGCGATCGAGACGGCCGGTGACGTCACCCAGATGCAAGCGCGCGTCGAGCTTGTCGGGACGCAGTTCGGAGTTGCTCCGCCGAGTGTGCCGCTTCCGAAGAACATCACACTTGCTAATGATGGATGGGTTTGTCCCAAGGCCACTCAGCGAGGTAAATCATACCATTTCGTTTGTGTTTCCTGAATTTCTGGCTCGATTTTCGTATCCAATCTCTCTCCCGATTCTCATGGAGAGACAATTCATAGGATTGCGCTTGTTTTGAATATCTTGAGACTGTTGGGTGATCTGGGTTTGCTATTTTTAGAACGAGGAATCGACGGTGAAACCTAATAGTGTAGTTCAAGCTAATCTACAAGGAGTTAGAACCCTGAAAAACAATCACAGTGATTAGATCTCATGGAAAAAGTCTATGCTTGTCTCTGAAAGTTGGAATAAGTCCTTAGCCACAAGGAAGATTTCTCTTCCAGTGTTTTTTGACTGGTTCTAGTTATCTTATCACTCTAATGGAATCTAAGAAAGTTTCAAATGCTCTAGTAATCTTTCAATGCGTTGTTCGATGTGGATCAAAGACGATTTGATGTTCCTTTTTGTGTTCATAATCTTCACATTAAGGGATAATCCCGGAATAACTTGGAGATTGAATTAGCAATGACATAGAGCTTATCACAGATTCAGGTTTTTGTTGCAGGCTGTCTCTGTGTTTGTTGCTGTTTGATGTTTGGTTTCTTATGTTGTTCTGAATTCTCCATCCACTGGGTTTTTTTTTTCAGGGAAGAACATTCTACAAGTATGCTGCAAGCCCGATCCAAACTTTAAAACTGACATCATTGATGAAGAATTCCTTCCCCGGAAAGAGGGAGATCTCACCATCATGTACGATGTGATCAGATCGTATGGATCGAATTACTGGGCCCAAGTCACAATCGAGAACCATAACCCACTCGGCCGGTTGGACAACTGGAAACTAAGCTTCGATTGGATGCGGGATGAATTCATCTACACCATGAAAGGGGCTTATCCGAGTCTTGTCGATTCATCAGATTGCATTGACGGTCCGCAGGCGAAGTACTACCAAGCTCTCGACTTTTCCAATGTTTTGAGCTGTGCCAGGCGACCAACTATCATAGACCTTCCTCTTACGAAGTATAATGATTCTACAGTGGGCCTTATCCCTTCATGCTGTAGAAACGGGACGATTTTGCCACGGTCAATGGATCCAAGCAAGTCGAGTTCAGTCTTCCAGATGCAAGTGTTCAAAATGCCACCAGATCTCAACATTTCTGCTCTGTCTCCACCTCAGAACTGGCGGATCAACGGAACCCTGAACCCGGACTACCAATGTGGTCCTCCTGTTCGGGTGAGCCCAAGCCAGTTTCCTGATCCAAGTGGCTTGCCCTCAAACCGGACCGCTTTTGCGAGTTGGCAGGTAGTCTGTAATATCACCCAACCAAAGGGCACTAGCCCAAGATGTTGTGTATCGTTCTCTGCATACTTCAACGACTCGATCATCCCATGTAGAACCTGTGCTTGCGGGTGTTCCAGCAGCCGGGCAGCTCGCACATGCAGCACAACTGCCCCGGCTATCCTTCTTCCACCTGAGGCCCTTCTGGTTCCTTTTGAGAACCGAACCACTCTTGCCCTCGCTTGGGCAGACCTGAAACACCGGCCAGTGCCAAATCCTCTGCCTTGCGGTGATAATTGTGGAGTCAGCATCAATTGGCATTTGGCAACAGACTACAGAGGTGGATGGACTGCTCGGGTCACGATCTTCAACTGGGGTGACACTGACTTTGCCGATTGGTTTGCTGCAGTTCAGATGAGAAAAGCAACCCCAGGTTTCGAGAAGGCTTACTCGTTTAACGGAACCACCCTCAGTATTGATGGGGTGAACAATACTATATTCATGGAGGGTCTTCCCGGGTTGAACTATCTTGTTGCAGAAAGAGACAGTGATAACCCGATAAAAGACCCTCGGGTTCCCGGGAAACAACAGTCTGTTATCTCCTTTACCAAGAAACTGACACCAGGGATCAATGTCCGAGCTGGTGACGGATTCCCGGCCAAAGTATTCTTCAATGGAGAAGAATGCTCGCTCCCAACTGTACTTCCAATGAGCAACAGCTTCCGAAGACACATCTCCAGCCTTCTTCTGTCGTTACCCGCTTTAGTTCTCCTGATTCTACGGTTGTAAAGTCCCCTGAAGGAGCCTCATTTCCGGGGGTAATACCGTTTATTGATTCTTTCTGACCATTATGATATGATGGATGATAGAGTGTTTCAGATTGGTTTTGCAAATGCCCAGAAGAAGAAGATTAAGTAGATAGAATATATATATATATATATATTATATGATGAAGACATGTCACTAGCTGCTGCTACTTCTACTACCACTTGTGTAGCGAGTTTTGTATCGGTGTGGTTTTGATTCTTTGTTAGTTAATTGTCAGTAATCCTCTCGATGAACACGTTCTTGTTCCCGGTCTGATTTACCCGGTCTGGTGTGTCAGTTCCGGCTTACTTTGGTTATGCAAACCGATTCGATTTGATGTGTTATTATTGGCAACGGTTTAAGTTGGCAGGAAGGAAGATCCTTGGCTTAATCCATATGCCCTCATATAAACATATTTAGTAGAAAACGCAGAGGAAAATCAATTTCCAATGAATTTAAAATACCAACAATAATAAAATATTTACACAAATTCCCTAAAAATTAAAACTTAAAACCCTAAAAGAAGAAATAATACAACAAAACCGATCAAATTATAGATCAAATTAAGTAACACCACTTCGCTTTTTGTGGATTATGATTGAGGCATTTGCCGAAGAATTAAATCAACATAATTAGTAGACATTTATTTTTTGTAGAGTAATCTCGATATTATTTTTTTTTAAGAAAATGCATTTATATGCTTGAAAATATATATGTCGAATAAATAAAAATACTAAACTAAGGTAAGCCTTTAACAAATTATTGTTTCGAGTAAGCAAGCAATCTTACTTTGTGAATAAGTAGTGTTTGTTCCCATTAAAAATCAATAATTGTAGCATTCTAATCTCGTGCGTATGTATTTATTTCGGTTTCTTTATTTTTTATTTTAAAAATCCACAGTTTTATTAACAGAAAACATAATAAAACACTGTTTTATAATTTATTATTCAAATAAATATTAAATTATTCTGATTTGCAAAAAAAAAAAAACATTGTATTTGCTTTTTTGTATTCAATTATTTGATACCTAACTAAATACTCTCTCTTTTTCATATACCCTTCACTAACACAAAGATCATTAATAATTTATTGAAATTTGTTACCTTTTATTAAGGATAAAACTGAAAATTATTTTTAAAAAATCTAAAATGACAACTATATAGTAATACAAAAAATAGTTTAAAACGATAAATGATCATGAAATGGAGGGAGTATTAAATTTGTTTTGAATATGTAACTAAACACTGGTTTTATATGTTAGTGTCAGATCACAAATACTAATATTCCACTTAATTTCTTAAATATATAGCTTTTTTAAACTATGTACCAAAGGATGTTAAAAGAAGGGAAAAGCTGAGATTACTTATACTATTTACATATGGAAATATCAATCTTGCTCATTTGATATTTATATGAAATATACTGTATTTAGTCAAACATCCATGACACAAGTCATACACAAAAACTATATATTATATTATATATATATATAATATATTATCAAATGATACATTAATTCTATTATCTACCTGAAAACTATACCAAAAAACTCACACATAGATTACCAAAAAAAAACTCACACATATTTCTTTGTAATAACAGAGTTTATTCAGAAAACAGATATGGCTTAGCTATGCGACACGTGTCGACAGCAAACAACGGGACATGGAGATATGACGAAATACTCCAGCAACGTGCCACGTGTCGAGTATTCTCATGTTGGATGTATTATATCAAAACTCTCTCTATTTTGCTGTATGAATTTGAGACTATACCATATTATAATTTTTTTTTTCTCTAATCAGTGTGATATATTATCAGTATGATCGTCATATAAATTCTGAATGATGATCCAAATGATTCATATAATTTCAACGATATGATTAAAATAATCATTATAATTTTGAGAATCTAAGATAGGTTAGGTGGCCTCATTGCTCAAATAAAAAAAAAAGATATAAAAATCAATATAGTAAAATAAATATATTTCTGATAATGGCTCTCTCTGATACCAATAAACTTTGGTCGCAAAGCATCCCATTGTCGTTTCCATATAACATATTATATTATTAGTTGATAATTTGAGGGGTGTATTTTTTTTTATAAGTAGAATATGGTTCCCCTTACCCCGACTACATCCACCCTAGATCCTCATAATAGCATGCCATTATAAAAAAAAGTTAAATATTGAATTTCATAATAATCCATCTAGATGGAAGCAAAGACACTCGTTTCACATTTTGATATTAAAACCAACGTGTTATATATGCCAGTTCAAAACCAGCAACCATCAACCAGATGGATCTAGTGGTTGGGAACACACAGCATTAACTCAAATCACACACATATATATATATAGAGTGTATTATCTGTGGAATTACAGATTCAATAATATATATATATTTTTTATTATTACGTGGGTGATCGATCATGGGAATCATAACTCGTGAATCAGAGACGGCGTCAAGCATTCCACCCGCGAGACTGTTCAAAGCAATCGTCCTCGAGTCGCACACTCTCATGCCCAAGATTCTGCCTCAAGCCATTAAGAGTATCCAAGTCCATGGAGATGGAGGAGCTGGCACCACCTTCACCACCATTTTCGCCCCTGGTTCCATCTCTCTCTCTCTCTCTCTCTCCCTCTGTATATATACATATACATAGATATGAATCAATATGTGCGGTGGGTGTGCAGGCTTTCCGTACAAGAATAGCAAGAGCAGAGTGGAATCCCTTGACGTGGAGAATCTCGAGTATAAGTACAGCGTGGTGGAGGGGGATCCCCTAAACGACAAGTGTGAGAAGATAACGACGGAGCTGAAGTTTCTGCAAGGAACAGACGGTGGGTCTGTGATTAAGATCAAGACAGATTTCTACAGCATCTCCTCCTCCGGCGCCGCCGACCTGAACGACGAAGAGATGGAAGAGGCGAGAGAGAAAGGTCTTGCAGGTTTCAAGGCCGTTGAGGCTTATCTCCTGGCCAATCCCAGTGTCTGCAACTAGAGATATACCCATATGCTGCATGTTATGCTATGTTATGTCGTGTCCACGTTGCATGTTATGTCATGTTGTGTTTCTTGGCGTTTGGTCTGCAGGCCAAATGCTATATATCATATTTTAATGGATTGAATAAGATGGAAAGGTTTTAATATAGATTTACGAATCGCAAAACAGCTTTTCTTCAAAAAAAAAAAAAAAAAAGGAATGAATTTTCTTACGCATGAATGAATGAAGAAATGTAAGCTGTACAAATACAAAGATACACGAAACAAAAGCTAACACAACTGAGCAGAACTGGACATATTTTCTTTCTTTAGGGCAAGAATTAGTGACTTATTGACCCAACCCAAAAAAAAAAAATCCAATTTTTTTTTTGATAATGGAGCGTCCTGGGCCGAAGCCCAGACTAATCTCCGGGTCGGGAGCAAGCCATGTGCTTTGAAATATTCGCTCCCCTCCCCACCCTAGGGCTCGAACTTGGGGCGGGACAAGTGCTTTGCACCCCGTTTCACCAGTTGAGCTACCCAGGATGGGTTAAATATAAGGAATATTCACACAAAAAAAATGTACGACAGAGCAGCCGCATCTCTGCCGGAGATTCTTATCTCCGCCGCAAAGCACGACGGAGAGTTCATGAGCTCCGGTTGTTGGGTTATCTACGGGTTCCTAGCATGCGATCATATTGATCTAGGGTTTGGTTTACTAGGTTTCATGCAGCGGAAGAAAAATCTAAACCTAGTCAAACGTCACACGCAACCAAACTCGCAAAACCCGAAAGATCGTGTATATCACCGAGGGAATCGTTACTTACCTCGTTCTCGATGAGACTTGAAGTTTATTTCGATCCGGGGCCTGTTCTAAATCACCAAGAGCTGAAAGTACAGCTCCTCTACACGTATCCACACCGACGGGAAGGATTCCAAACGATTTGGAACGAATCTGCTAGGATTAGTGAAGAAAAGGGTAACTCAAGAGACGAGATCCAATCCCGGTACAATAGAAATCGAAGAGAACAACTTCTCTAGGGTTCTAGGATGTTTCTCTGAGTTTTAAGTCGGCCTTAATTAAGTTTGGACGAAACCCGAAACTTAAATAAGATTAGAAAACCCTAAAAACGAATATTTGGAAATTTTCCGGATCCCGGTCCGCCGGACCAGGAGCTTGGTCCGGCGGACCAAGCTTAGTCCGAGGCCCACGGACTGGCTGATCTGAAGGCTTGGTCCGGCGGACCACGTGTGGTCAGCTCCGGACCAAGACCCTTCTTGGTCAGTTAACTTGGTCAGTTCCGGACCAACGCACTGAAAACTCCTTTTCGTGCTCGTTTCGGTCAAATCTCGTTTTCATTCTTCGTATTCTTCACGTATAAGTCCATCCCTATTGGTGTGTGACCCTGTAGGCCCATTCTAAGTGGTAGTGACTTTAGGAACCTTTCCCGAACCAGAAGTCATGGTTAGCCTCTAGCAAGACGCCATGACCACCCATTTAGAATTGAGTTAGAGGTGATCTAACCAAGGCAATAACAGCTCTAGTTCTGATCCTTTGTCTCACGATATCATAAGTTGAACAAGGGCATGGTTTGAGCCACCTTTCAAGTTCAACTGCTTTCTCGTCTTGGCAAATCGACTAATAAAATAGATGCAACTTCATCTATGGCGTGGCCACGCGTTTTCATAGTCCGACTTCCACGAGGGGGCCCAGCGATATCTCTCTTGTTAAGGAGGTGACAAGTCCCATATTGCGTGTCTACTATCTCCATATGATTCGTGAACGTATCTGATCAACGCCGTTATAATCATCCGGTTAAAGACGAAGTTTGACGCAGTCAAGACACGTCACTCCTCATATCAGATACTCTAGACATCTCAGGTATGAGGATCCATAAACGAAACGCTGTGTGAGATTCAAGTCATGACTCTGTCCATGTGACAATCTCATGCGGGTCATCCAGTCACTCGTTCACAACGAGTACCCATGATTGTGATCTACATCCAACGCGTTGATCACACCTCATTGCTAGTCTTCATTCAACATTGTTCCCACAATGATGACTGACTAGGGAGTTTAGAATCATTCTCTAATGATTCAAGGATGCCGAAATACAACAAACATGCTAATCGTATAACAGATAAATAATGCATTCATAAATCAATGAATCAATACAAAGTCAAATGTCATATCATGGATCATCCTAGAGCATTACAACCAACACCGGTGACATGTCATCAGAAAACCCAGAGACATACGAGCAAACCCACGAAGCGGAAGACTCGATACGCATCAACAAATGAATCTCCGACAAGCATATCGACCTGAACGGTGTTGGAAGTAAGCTTGTCATTTGAAGTACACATGTTGTGTTGTTTGAAGTTTTCAAAATTAGTTTGTTTGTAAATGACTCAGTCTTATGGTTCTCCTCGGAAAACTTGGTCATGTTTGCACGTTCCCACTTTGTAGGATGTAGTTGTTGATATTTTTTGTTATAAATAAAGGTAAAGACACCGAAAATGGATGTCGAGGCAGAAAGTTTTATGGAAAGTTTCGAAAATGTCTCTTGATCTTTGTCTTTGGTTTTTGGTTTGAAAATCAAAACAACGTTTCGGGAGTTCGGTTTCTACAAACGGAGATTCTCTGATTCCGGTGATGTCCAGCCAAGCCCACGTCTTATCTGGTGAAATTGCGCAGCACGATCTGGGACACACAACACCCGGGTCGTACCCATCATCCGGATGCGACTCGACGTGGCCGCCGACAACAATGGCGGTGTCAACTCTGGCGAGATCGACGTCGGAGATCGTGATATTATGTATATACCCTCCTCGGCCTCTGGTGGTTCTGAATGAGACGTCGAATAGGGAGCTACTGATACGGAGGTCGTCGGCTGTAACGCCGGACATTTCGCTCCCGAAGGAGATTTCGCCGCCGGTGGGGGACTTGAGATTGAGCCGCCGCAATTGCATGGGGGAAGTGGGGCGGTTGTAGCTGATGTCGTACTCACCCCCACCGCTCTTGAGAGAGATGGCGTCATGACCGGTGTTGATGGTCGAGTCCGAGGAATCTGAAAAACGTTAGGTAACACGAGAAAAAAGAACAGAGAGAGAATGACGATGAAATGCGACAGCACTTTAACTACCTGAAATGACTCCGAGGACGTAAGGAGAATCTACAGTTGTCTCGATCAAAACCTTCCAAATATGTACATGGGGCTTAAAACAACATCGTTTCTGTTCGAATTCTGATCCAAAAAACGTCGGATGATTGCTGAATCTGAAACATTTTCGTTATGGTTTATACCTGCAATAGCCTGGATGAAGGTGCGTTTCGGAACGTGATATTCGAAATGAATATGTAATTGGATGAGATGAATTCCATGAGATGAGGTCGGCTGAAGTTCAGAGAGCCCGACTCCAGCCATTCCTACCAGATCTCGCCCTGGCCATCAAATATCCCGTTATTACCTATCCGACCACAGTTTATAAGTCTCAGTGTCAAGTCGAGGAACTCTAAAAACACAGACTGAGGGGCATGTTGGCTTACCGGTAATGACCACATCCTGAAGATTATCACCGTTTATTAAGCTTCGGTATCGCTTTCCAGGAAGTTCAATGCCTCGGTCATAGGATGGGAGTGGATCCACAATGTCCCAATGCGATGGATCCTGTACCACGTCATGTTTTAATTGCCAAAAACCGAAAACACAGAACTCGATTTCTAATTATACATGGAGTTCTGCAAGAGTTTACGTCCTTTTAAACGTTCAATTGATATAGTTATACATGTTTCTTTTGACAGATCCTCATGATGACACCCTAAAGGACTATAGAATCTCTCCATAGAACATCTCAAATCCTGTGAAAACGCCGAGCAAATCTTTCTGGGAATAGGTTATATGAACATAGGAAATCCATCTTGCCTTCCGAGGACGGTGTGAGTCTGAGAGATCACTCAAATACCTCTGACCCGACCCTAATACAAACTTTTTTCACTTCTGCTGTTTGTTATAGCCATTGACACAATCAAGCAAACACTTCAAATCCCTTTTACCAAAAACACTAACCATCCAAATACTAGAAAGCCCTTTTTTTCCCAAGATATGTTTGATTTAAGACTGCCAATCCCAAATAAACTTGGGATTAATGTGATGTTGATGTTGATGTACATGTTTGATTTAAGTGATCATACCCCGGAGGCGAGAATCATGACGCCTTTCTCCAAGAAGAGAGTGAGATGGCTGGCTGGTGAGGTTGATGCTTCCGGTGAGCCATTTCCCGGGTGGAATGTAGAGCTGAGCTCCTCCTTTATCCGCAAACGACTTCAGGTAAAAAATGGCGTTCTAAAACACAACTGTGTCCAACGTTTTCCCATCCTCAACCACTCCAAACTCCGATACCGAAACACTGTGAGGCCTCGTGTCTGGTCTGAATCTTTCCTTGCATATTGCGTTGCTGTTGCTTTCGCCGGTGGCTGCTCTGATCAACTGATTGGTGAATGCCAGTAGCAACAACAATTCCACCTTTCAATATGCATCAAGCAAGCACAACCATATTGCTGGATTAAACAGTGGAGGGAATCTGTGATACAAATGATGGATCTTTCAACGTTTCTTGGGGAAAAAATGAGTGTGATGACATAAGATAATAGTTCTCGTCTTGCTGAATTTTCTCTCAGAGTCGATTACCGGAAAGCTTCAAAATTTCCCCAGAAAATCGAATCATTGCCAGGATGCCAACTAAACCGGCGATTTGAGAGAAATTTTGTTCGTTCTTTTGCTGCATATATATACGTACACGTATACGTATATGGGTTCCATCCATAGTAGGTGGATAAAGATCAGATGTTGACTTGAACACCATGCGAGAGAAAGAGAGCCACACGCACATAGATGACGCCAAGAAAATGTCCAAAATTTCCGGAATAGGCAACAGAAGAGACGGCAGTTTGGAACAGGGAATCGAGCAAAACCCCCAAATAAGAGGGTTCATAAGATTTCTACTGAAAAAACTGGCAACTTCTCAGAATTGTATGACCAGAAATATCAAGCAAAATAGCTGCGAATCATACGGAAAACATAGAATTTGGGCAGAACCCGTAAGAGATTTCGTATGATTCCATCTCTTCCCAAAGGTGAAAACTTTAGAATCGCAGCAGCAGGTTGAAAGAGATTAACCAAAACCCAAGAAAAATTAACCGATTTGAAACAATATTACAGGACAAAAAAAAAGGAGAGAAGAAACTTACTGGCATCTTCATGAACCCAAAGACTGAGTTTCCTGAACAAGGGAAGAGGAAAAGTCCTATAGGAACAAAAAAAAACGAGAGGAGTTGAAGGAGACCGAAGCAACTACATGTTTGTATCATCTGTGGGGCTGGCCATTTCGGTTATTAACCGAATAATCGAATCGAATCGAACCGAATAAAAGATAACCGTATTCGAACCGAATCCGATACTAAAACCGAACGGTTATGATTTTTTTAAACCCAAAAAAACTAAAACCGAACCGAACCGAACTGAATAAAAAAATAACCGAAAAAACCGATATTTTTCTTTGAAAAAATGAGTTTTTTACCGAAACCGAACCGAACCGAAAAATAACCGAATCGAACCGAACCAAAATGATTATAGTTTTTCTTTAATCGAAATAACCGAACCCGAATATAACCGAATCGAACCCGAACTGAAACCCGAAATAGTCACCCCTAATTTCTTGTCACTATTATTCTTCCTTTTTTTACCATAATTTCTTGTCACTATTTTTTTTTTTGTCAAACCAGGAAGTTCACCTGGACCTTCGGCCCAACCTACATCTCCCTGGGCCCGGGAGCAGCCTTTGAACACACAGCCTTTGAGTCGAAATTTAATCTGGTTTGAGAGTAAATAAATCCAGTTTTGGAGCAAAAGATCATTTAAAGTTGGTTACGTGGATACGCTGACATCAGCTTTCCGGACCAACGTGGATTTCCGATCACTTGAAATTGTGGTCAAACTGGTCAACGGGTTATTAGAGCAACAATTTGCAAGTTCGAGGTTCTATTCAGTTACATGTTGCAAGTTTGAGATTTAAATGACAGCTTTGCAAGTTAAAAGTTTATTTGTATATTTTTTTTGCAAGTTCGAGATTTTTTAGGGGTTTTCCCCTAAAAGATATAAATAGAAACTAAATAACAATAAATGTGTTATGTTAAGGTGTTGCTTAAAGAAATAAAATCCGAATTGGAGACGGATAGAGAAGAAAGTTTTTTTTTTGGATAATCTGTAAATTCTAGGGTCTTCGACATTACTATATTTTTCAAAGGATTAGAAAAATCCAAGTGAATATTATTCCCCACATTTAGATTTGAATCCGAGATAAAAACATATTTTTCATGTTATCTTTACCACTGTATCACCCAAACTTGATGATAGAGAAGAAAGTTGAATGTCTACTCTCAGTCATCGGAGAAGGCGCTAGACTGTCTGGCACAACATATTCATTATAATACAAATATAATTTCATACATATAATTTATATGATTGGACCTCCGAATGGATACAATTTGTCCGTCGTTTTATACCCTAGCGAGCTAGCCTTGTCTCGAGTAGGCTTGAAGAAACGCCGGCCAAAGAACAAAACCGAACCACGGGGATCGCCTTGTTTGAACGGGGTAAAGCTTGTGCCAACCAGGCCACTTGCAGGAGTGGTCTGAATCATTGTATTCGACTCTCGTGTTACTTTTTGTTAGAGAAAAATCAATAATATGAAAACACATACGTATCCGATAAGATGACAATTTCAATCTGATTCGATAATTTCGTCTTCAACCTATCAAAATACGTACGAAACAATAGTACACCAAATATGACTTCAAGGCATGTATTAGAACACTTTTCTAAAAGCGTTATTCTATCTCTACCGGATAAATGGAATCACGAGAATATACTTTTGAGATATAATGAAGCGATAATGATTTCGGTTTATCATTCCGATAATCATCAAACATAATCTTCTTTAATCGAAAACAAAGAAACCCTTGCGATAGTGAAAAACTATACGCAAGAACACTCAAATCTCTCACAAAATCACTTAGATCTTGTCACAAATCTATGTTTTTATGTTTTCCTTCTTGTTATATGACTTCGAGTGTGTTTATACACACTAAAACATCGAAAAGATATAAAAACTCAGAAGTTTTCGCCGACCGGTCGTGACTTTCGTTAGGGGTGGACACGGGTCGGATACCTGCGTTTTTGGAGATACCCGTCTTTGTTTTTGTCTTTGCGGGTTTTAAAAAAATGTTATCTCTGTCTCTATCTCACAATATCTGGATACCCGTTAGACGGGTACTCGCGACTAAATGACGGATACCCGCGAGTACCCGTACCCATGTGTATAATATTTTTTAATTTAAAATTAAACAAATATCCAACAAAAACATATATATTTTGATTTAAAAATACATTTAAAATTTGAAAATTTTTAAAACATTAAAATATAAATAAATTTTTAGAAAATTTTCAAATATATAAAATGATTTTAAAGTTAAAAGGATTAAGGTGTAATAAAAACATCATTATAAAATCTTAGATATTTTGGTAAATAGTTTAGAAATATAAGGGTAATTTTATATATATATATATACAAGTACCCACAAGTACCCATTCTCTAAATCTTTGAAACACGAACCTGTACACGTCATGCGGATTTTCTATATTTTAATACTCGTTTTCGTTTTCGTTGAGTATCGAATACCCGTTTTTCGAGTACCCGCGAGTCCGGATACCTACAAACCCGCGAGTGACGGGTTTAAATGTCCAACCCTACTTTTCACTCATATTGTCAATCAGAAAAAATGGTTTAGCCGCTCGTTTTTTCGAGGTACAACCCGATTATATAACATCTGAATATTATTGTTTAGAAAAAGTGAACTATCCGCTCGTTTATTCGATCTATAGTCTGATTGTAAAATCTGACCATTATTGCTCAGAAAAAGTGGGTTACTCGCTCGTTTATTCGAGCTATAACCCGATTATTCCGATATCACTTTTCATGTTCTAAACTAAATGTAACTTTTTCTGTTGAATCATAACATTTTAAACCAATGTATTATGAGAGATTAAAATCAATCAATGGTTTATTCTAAAATATCCAACACTTTTTTTTAATTTTCGTTTATTTTGTTTTGTTTGTAATGGTTGCTAAAGAATCATAACCACATAAAATATCCTTTGTGCACCTATATACTTAACAATGTTTTATGACTAAATAAAAAATACTAAACTGAGCGGAACAAATTACCAGTCCCACGCAATTATAGGTTATAAATAAGGTATTGCTGGTTTCAATTAAAAATCAAATTTATATAATTACATTTGCAATTCACGGCTTTTTATTAATAACTTTAGCTTTGCAATTCATGATTTTTTTAGAGTTTAAAACTCAAATCTTAAAGGAAAGACTATGCATATACGTTATAGATGAGTGATATTAGATTGTTCAAAATCAAAATTATTCAGAATACGAAAACACAAAATCCGAGCTTTGGCGTTAGAGCCTCGAAAGAATCGAGGCTTCCAAAAATTGACGGGCAGGCCCAACCAAAAGTAAGGCTGGGCCCACTCGCCTCGTTGATTGAGTTCGCGTGTCAGTATTAGGTGTTGGCACGATCCGCCGTCTCTATACGATCATTGACGAATCGCCTCTCACCCCCTGACAGGACGGGTTAACCAACCTAATGTAGTCCTACCCTTCCTTTTATAGAAGACACCGAGGCATGCAAACCTTGAAAACATTCCGATGTGGGATTTTGTCATCACCAACTATATTTTCCCTTTATACGAAATAAAAAGCATCCCGGCGTATACGCCTACCTCGACAATCTCCTGGTGTGGGAACATTTATAGAGAACGACACACGTTAAATCACAAGTACATATGTTTGTAATTTGATTTATTGATGGAGAGAATTTTCAAATGTAAGAAGTTGGCCTGTATATCTAATTTGAAACAAGAAGTAAATTTGATTAAACCAGGAGCCCTTTTTTTTTTATTCGATGGGATTCAACCACCGTATCTGGATTTGAGGGCTTCAGGAGGCTCCTCTTCCATGATTCCATTACCCTTTGTAGCCAAATACTCGCGTATTGTCGTTTTCCTGTCTCCCAGATACGTATGATCCATAAAATTGTTGTATGCTCTCTCCTCTACGTTCTTAGCTGCCAATACGCTGTGTCAAGAAAGAAAAAACTTGAGCTATTTGAAAGCAAAATCTAGACTCTTGAGAAAAACGAAGGCTATGTATGTTTTTAGGACTATCTTGAGATTTCTGGGTATGGAAGTCAGTGACTCCTTAATCGTCAAACCTTTTTGGGGGAAAATGCAATTAAAAAACTTGAAGGAACATTCATTCACACTCCCGTCACTCTTTTAGATAGATTCTGTTCATACAATCGTACAGATGTAAGTTGCAGAATTCGTGGAGCAAATCAGAGCTCCAAATTCCTAGTTCGACTAATTAATCAAGTACAAAGCTAAGTGTTTCTCATTTCTCCTCATAAGCATTGTTTTTTGTCACCTTTGTTAGTAGCAAATTGTGGTTGTTTTAGTTGTTAACTGGCCAATTAGCTTTCAGGGTTTGGAATAATTCATGTCAAATAGAGACACTTTATTCAGAAAATAGAAAAGGAGAGGGAAATCAATACCAGTGTCTCAGATAAACACGGCAAGGTAAGATGTCGTCTCTCCATATCTTCTCGATGTTGTGTCTTCCATAATGTTGAAAGTAGGCCTCTTTACTCCCTGCAGGCACAGTTTCAGGAGATATCCATATAACAAGATAATTATAAATTGGGTTTAAGCAGAGAAACTGTTAAGCCATATAGAAATTACATAAAGAAAAAAAATTTAAAGCTATCGGCTATGATTACATAACACTCCATGACCTCCGCAACATTAAAAACACCTCTTACCTTTGCATCTAACCTGGAAAAATTCCTCGTCACTGTATCTGGCGCAAAGTACCTGTTCAAGAGACAAATCCCCGAATAAGACACCAAGGTAACGATATGAAAGATAACTGCATTAAGTCTAATTTTCAGAGCTGACAAACCGCTGGATTCATGAAAGGTTCTCCTTCCAGCGTTTCGGGTAAGACCTGTATGAGAAAAGAACGAATCAATGGTGGCAATCTAGCATGTGCTATTGAAGCTCTGCAAAGGGGCAGGGAACTAGTTACTCACAGCAAGAAACCGGAATTCAAGCTCGCGTTGGATAAAAGCTGGAATCTGAGATTGTGACATGGCATATCAAAACATCAGGATAGTCTATAGCCCCCCGAAAAATGTAAGCCGATGAACTCAGCTTACAAAGTCACCTCATTACCTCTATTTTTGTGATCTCAAAGACGGTCACTACAAGGCTCTCTCCTTCACATGGCTCTACACTCAAGCTCGAGATCTCCTGTTCCATCACTGTGTGATCTCAGAACTGCTTTCTTCTATCTGAACAAACTGAGTAGGAAAGAAGAAAAAATAGAACCTACATCCTAATCAATCTGCTGATAACGATCCAGAACTTATAATCGCTTTCCATGCATGTTCACGAAGATACTCTTCTACTCCATTTCCTTGGCTACCCAACGGAAACGAAAATTCAAGGGGTCTTGGTTTCAGAATCAACTTGCAGGCTTTCCAGGAAGCTAATATTTACCTCAATTTTTTCTGTAGCTATACCATTTCGGGGAAAAAAAAATCGAACGGCAATAGTTTCACAGTCACGTTCCATGTTCTACCAGGACTACTCTTTTACTTCATTTCCTACGTAACCACACAGAATTGCAGAACTATTCCAGAATGAGAAAACATCGAAGGAACCTTAGTTTCAGGTTTCGCGATCCCGCGCTCGAAGAAGATGGGAGCGACGTGCGCGAAAACTCGCCGGAATCCATTCAATTTCGCGACTCTGAAATTCTCCAAATCGGGAAACGTACTCCTCGCGCTTTTCTCTATTCCGAAACGAGAACAAGCAATCCAACACCATGATAATGATCATCAGACACAATCAAGACAATTTGCAAACAAAATCTGTGTACGCACCGGAGAGAAGAGAGCCGAAGCCGCAGATGGAGATCCGACCGTCCGAAGCGAGGATCTTCTCGAAATCCGATTCGTCTTCGAGTTCGATCACCTCCGGCGAATTCGGACGGAGGATACCCCCGGACATCGCCACGAACGATCGCCGGCGAACTTCTCGGATATTCGATATTCGTGGAGAGAGAGAGGGGCCGAGAGTGGCGGCGCGGGAGGGAGGAGGAGGAGGAGCGGAGCGTGGACTCCACGCGATCGGGAAAAGCGAGTAGAGAGAGGGTGAGGCTGTGAGTGATAGGGCAGTCATTGACTCATTGGAGAGCTTTAACTCGACTTGGAGTTGGTGGGGGGTGTTTAGGTAAATATGTAAAAGAGAGATTTACAGACATTTATTATGCAAACAAACCCATATACAATTCACAAACATAAAATATACTCTCTTTTTCAACGCTGAATTAAGAAGATAGATTTTGGTATTAAGAACTATCAGGAAGAGGCAATGTATCTTAAAATAAAATCTCTATAGTATGTACGGATAAATAATCTTTGAATATATATATATTATATGAAACCTCTTTTTTCTCTTTCTGTGAGTTTATTTAAATTCTTTCTATCTTTGAATATATATATATATATAATATTGTATGTCTTCGTCTGCGAAATCCCCTATACAAAATTCCTAAAGGAATCAATAGGTTAAAAAGACCAGAAAGAAGGGGAATTGATTGATCAGTGGAAGACTTGAGGCTCTCGCTGAAACGGGCCTGAGGTCTTCCTTGCACATGAAATCCAAGGGGAAAGACACGAGGTTTCCACGCACGGACTTGAGTCTGTCAAGTGGATCTGTCCTCTTGATGTCTCCGTTGTGGTATGACTCCAGCTTCTCCGGAGCTATTCCCAGACAATGGTCATGGGTCCCAGTTGAGGATGACCATTTTTACCCGACACCTGTGGGTTTTCGGGTACCCGACATTCGTGGGTAACCGAAAAGCCACAAGATATAATTATTTCCCTTTCAATCAATAAAAAATTATTTTCTGTAGAAAATTATATAAAATCTTGAATGTGGCATGTTTCTCTCAAATTATTTTGAGAGATATTTTGATTGGGTTGGAAATTGATTTTCCTCGCGTTTTCAACTAATTCTGTTTTATATGATGGCATGGATTAAGCCAAGGATCTTCTTTCCTCCACGTCAACTTAAACCGTTACCAATATCCAATAACACGTCAAATCGAATCGGTTTGCATAACCAAAGTAAACCGGGACTGACACACCAGACCGGTTTGGTTTTGTAAATCAGGCCGGGAGCAATAAAACACCAAGGCGCACAGAACAGCGAAGAGGCTGAGGATTACTGACAATTGACTAACAAAGAATATAAACCACACCAATACAAAATTCACTGCACAAGTGGTAGAAGCAGCAGAGACGCAATCTATCTACTTAATCTTCTTCTTCTTCTTCTTCTTCTTCTGGGCATTTGCAAAACCAATCTGAAACACTGTATCATCCGTCATATCATATCGGTTACAAAGAATCACTGAATGGTATTACCCCCGAAAATGAGGCTCCTTCAGGGGACTTTATAGCAGCAGAATCAAGAGAGCCAAATCGGGTAAAGACAGAAGAAGGCTGGAGACGTGTCTTCGGAAGCCATTGCTCATCGGAAGTACGGTTGGGAGCGAGCATTCTTCTCCATTGAAGAATACTTTGGTCGGGAATCCATCACCAGCTCGGACATTGATCCCTGGTATCAATTTCTTGGTAAATGAGATACTCGACTGTTGCTTCCTGGGAACCCGAGGGTCTTTCCTCGGGTTATCACTGTCTCTTTCTGTAACAAGATAGTTCAGCCCGGGAAGACCCTCCATGAATATAGTATTGTTCACCCCATCGATACTGAGGGTGGTTCCGTTAAACGAGTAAGCCTTCTCAAAACCTGGGGTTGCTTTTCTCATCTGAACTCAGCAAGCAAAGTCAGTTCTCCCCCAGTTGAACATCGTGACTCGAGCAGTCCATCCGCCTCTGTAGCCTGTTGCCAAATGCCAATTGATGCTGACTCCACAATTATCACCGCAAGGCAAAGGATCTGGCACTGGCCCGTGTTTCAGATCCACCCAAAGCAAGGGCAAGAGTGGTTTGGTTCTCAAAAGGAACCAGAAGGGCCTCAGGTGGAAGAAGGATAGCCAGGGCAGTTGTGCTACACGTGCGAGCTGCCCGGCTGCGGGAACACCCGCAAGCACAGGTTTTACATGGGATGATCGAGTCCTTGATGTACGCAGAGAATGTACACAACATCTTGGGCTAGAGCCCATTGGTTGGGTGATATTGCAGACTACCTGCCAACTCGCAAAAGCGGTCCATTTGAGGGCAAGCCACTTGGATCAGGGAACTGGCTCGGGCTCACCCGAACAGGAGGACCACATTGGTAGTCTGGGTTCAGGGTTCCGTTGATCCGCCAACACTGAGGAGGAGACAGAGCAGAAATGTTGAGATCTGGTGGCATTTTGAACACTTGCATCTGGAAGACTGAACTCGACTTGCTTGGATCCATAGACCGTGGCAAAATTGTCCCATTTCTACATCATGAATGAATAAAGCCCACTGTAGAATCATTATACTTCGTAAGAGGAAGGTCTATGATAGTTGGCCGCCTGGCACAGCTCAAAACATTGGAAAAGTCGAGAACTTGGAAAAGTCGTCAACGCAATCTGATGAATCGACAGGACTCGGGTAAGCCCCTTTCATGATGTAGATGAATTCATCCCACATCCAATCTATAAGCTTAGTTTCCAGTTGTCCAACCGGCCGAGCGGGTTATGGTCCTCGATTGTGACTTGGGCCCAGTAATTCGATGCATATGATCTGATCACATCGTACATGATGGTGAGATCTCCCTCATTCCGGGAAAGGAATTCTTCGTCAATGATGTCAGTTTTAAAGTTTGGATCTGGATTGCAGCATACTTGTAGAATGTTCTTTACCTGGAAAAAAAAAACCCAGAGTATGGGGAATTCAACACAACATAAGAAACCAAACATCAAGAAGCAGAATAGCAACAAACACAGAGACAACCTACAACAAAAACTCAGTCTGTGATAAGCTCTTTGTCATTGCTAATCGCTACTCCGGGATTATCCCTTAATGTGAAGACTATGATAGCGGAAGGAGCATCAAATCGTCTTTGGTCCACATCAAACAATGTATTGAAAGATTACTAGGACATTTGAAGCAGCATAACTACTTAGATTCATTGCAGTTATAAGATTACTAGAGCCAATCAAAAAACACTGGGAGAGGAATCTTCCTTTTGGTTAAAGCTCCAATCTGGATTACCACTACAGACTGGTTCCAACTTTCAGACAAAAGAAACGTAGACAAGCATAGACTTTTTCCACGAGATCTGATCACTGTGATTGTTTTCAGGGTTTTAACTTCCTGTGGATAATGCTTGAACTACAATATCCAATGCTTGAACTACAATACTAGGTTTCATCGTCGATTCTTCATTCTAAAAATAGCAAACCCAGATCACTCTAACAGTCGTGCGATATTCAAAACAAGCGCAATCTTCTCTCCATGAGATTCGGAAAAGAGGATTGGATGAGAAAATCGAGACGGAAATTCAGGAAATACAAACGAAATGGTATGATTTACCTCGGTGAGTGGCCTTGGGACAAACCCATCCATCATTAGCAAGTGTGATGTTCTTCGGAAGCGGCACATTCGGCGGAGCAACTCCGAACTGCGTCCCGACAAGCTCGACGCGCGCTTGCATCTGGGTGACGTCACCAGCCGTCTTCAGATCGGTCGCCGGATATCCGACGAAAATAGTACCGTTTCCGATGCCCACAGGGAAGGCTCGAGCCGCCCGCGAGCACGGCGTTGGATGCAAACCTCTATATATATCTGTCCCACATCGGCAATATTTATAGTTTGATACTTCAGTGTCCTCTATAAAAGAAGGATAGGGGCCATTTCCCGCGACAATCCCGTCCTGTCAGGGGTGAAAGGTGATCCGTCGATGACCGTAAAGAGAAGGCGGATCGTCTCCAACACCTGGCATGCGAACTGAAGCGAGTGGGTCTAACCTTTACGTTTTTGTTGGGCCTGCCCGTCAATTTTTGGAAAAAACCTCGATACTTTCGAGGTTCTAATGCCGATTACGTCTTTTGAATAATTTTGAAACATACTCTACTCATTTTATGATTTATAACGTATAATTGCATAATATTTTTTTTTAAGATTTTAGTATAAACTTTAAAAAACCTATAGATTGCAAAACTAAAATTATAAAAATTCCGAAATTTGTAATAACATACAAACCTGAATTTTTTTTAAAAAAAATTAATCACATAGCTGGTTCCGATCTCGGGATAGAAAACGTTACCCAAAAAAAATAATATCCAAATTTTAAAATTAAAATTTTAATAAAAATAAAAATAAAAATATTTAAATAAAATCTCACATAATAATATAAATATTTAAAAAATTATATTCAGAATATCATCATCAAGTATTATCAACCATTTTACATAATAACCTCCAAACAATCCATTCAATGTATTGAAACAAAAAAAAATTCTTCCAAATATTTAATCACAAATCTAATAAAATTTTAGCACCGCAAAACATAATGAAATTTTAGTGATTTAGTCAAAAAAAAAACAGTTCAATCAGAAAAACCATAATGATTACATATGGAACATCCTTTACATCTCGCACTGTTATACCATTATTGGTATATAAACACACATATTTATACATACAGAGCATCACTCAAAATCATTTATACAAATGAATTAAGAACTTAAATTATATAATATGGAGGGAAAAAAAGGAGCACACCAACAGAATTAGAAGATGAGCAAACAAGAGTTGAAGAACCGAGTCTCGTGTTTCCAGTTTTTTATTGTATTTTCTTCTGAGCTTTTGTTGTGATATGAAAATAAGACATCCAGTTATTCATTTCTGAAGATGCGATTCCATTCCTTATGCCCCAGCACCACATGGTTATACCCACACTACATGGGAAGACATTGGGCGACAGAGATTGAATCCAAGAAAGAAGAAGACACTCTTAAGGGGATCAAAAGAGAGGATTCTTTTGCTTATTGATCATCTTTGAAGGACATTCATTCCCCCTACTTTTGCCTCAAGAGCCTGTCGAGCAAGATGGTTCGAGAGTATCCATTCTCCCTCTCATTGGCAAAGCCGAGCATTTCGTCTATATTGAGGTATATGCCAAGCGTTTTCTTCTTCAAGGTTTGCATGAGCCATTCCGTAAAACAAATGGAGCATGACAGAAACATATTGCAATCAGTTTCCCCTAGAACTAAGTATTGTTCAATTGGTATTACTAGAAACCACTGTCTGAAGCCTCTAGTTGGCTTGGCACCACCCAGTTGCCCCTAGTCTCGATCGAGTTATAACCGAACACTGGTATCCTCACTGGAGTGGATACCCTTAACACATTGAGAAGGACTTTCCTACCCATCACCTGCTGTGGCTTGGCTTTACCAAAAGATTAATTAAACTGTTATTTCGAGGGGATTAGCCCCTTTCTCAAATTCAGGGACTTAATTCCTCCGCTGGACGATAATCTTGTGGACTTGAACACACTCTGTAAGACAAGTTCTATAGATAGACACCTGTATGAATTTATCAATTCAGACTTTAGATTAGCAAAATAAGGAATTTCCTTTTCGAAATTGATAATATGTGAGTTTCATATGTAGTTCGTTTTCTGAGCTTTGCTTATGTCTGCAATATATCTCCAGAACCAGTTCTTCATATCAGGCCTCTCAGGAGATGACACGGAAGCACTGTACAAGAGAATTTTGCGTGCCCACAATGAGAAGAAAGCCTTCAGGGTTACGGTTGTCATAACACCACTCCACTCCTCCCAGGTTTCCAGGTTAGTATGCGTTCTTACATACTTGTGTGCCTGGCAGGGAGGTGTTGATGACAGTGGTGCAGCATCTGTTAGAGCCATAATGCATTGGCAGTATCAAACCGTATGCAGAGGACAGAACTCAATGCTGCGTAAACTTTTCAATACTATTGGGACGAAAATTGAAGTGTCAGGGAACAGAAATAATTATATACATGGCCTGAAAGAATTAAGTGTTCAACATTACACATAAAAGAAGTATCAGGAGGCAATGGAATCTTACAGTAAAATCTCTGTTGTATGTATGGATAAATAATCTTTGAATATGTTGTCTATAAAATATATGAATGAAACCTCCTTTACCTCTTTATGTGAGTTTAGTTTAAACCTTTTTTCTCTCTCTCTCTCTCTCTCTCTCTCTCTCTCTCTCTCTCTCTCTATGCCTGTATGAAAATGAGCATATCGTCTCTTCCTCTGCCACGTCCCCTATACAGAACTCTTCCTAACGGAATCAATAGGTTAAAAAGACCAGAAACAATGGAATCATTCCTCTAAAATCAGCATTTCTGAATTTATTTTGGACCAGTGGAATGAAAAGGATTGGGGATCAGTGGAAGACTTGAGGAGAGGCGTAGTATTCGCTCTCGTTGAAAACAGGTCTGAGGTCTTCCTTGCACGTGAAATCCAAGGGGAACGACACGAGGTGTCCACGCACGGACTTGAGTCTGTCAAGTGGGTCTGTTCTCTTGATGTCTCCGTTGTGGTATGATTCCAGCTTCTCCGGAGCTATTCCCAGATCAATGGTCGTGTGTCCCAGCTTCTCCTTCCAGTACCCCATGCTTTGTCTGAATGCCATTCTGCTTATACATATATCAAATTAGTTCAGGTTTTTCTGGAACATATAGTCAGTCGTAGGTCCTGAACATGGAACATAATGATTGGTCTCTTTAGTCTTTACCTTGAATGGATGAGATCATTGGGCACACACGAGAAGACATCCTGGTAAATCATTGTATTTGTCTGTCACATAAATAACAAAACACCCACACATGTTAATACAAGACAGTCAAATGCTCAAACGAAAATAAATAATGGCTAGTATGAATGAAGCATACTAGCTAAGTTGCTTATGCGATACAAAACGCAAGAACCATGCAGATCATGCAGTATGATAAATCGTTTTGATTCTGTAATAGACAAGCTAGAGGACGAAAGCCTGTTCCTACAATTCCCATAACAATTGGTTTATTGAAATCACAAATCCTGAACTTCTATGCGGATCTCTGTGGTGGAGCAGATGTTGAGCTCAAACAGTCCCAAATCAAACAATAAAAAGCGAAAGGGTTCAGATCGTATTCTATTCTAACCTTTGCGGTAGCCATCCATATCTCTCTGTACGTGGAATCAGAGACAGGGTCAATAATCTGATCGATCTGGCAAAAGGAAGAGAGAAAGAACACGTGTTCAGAATAGTGACATGACTATGACTGTCGATTATGTATGACACGTGGTTAGGGTGAGGGACGGGTTGAAACTTGAAACCCCCTTTTATAAACACATCCAATGTTCGAAAGTTCATACTAAGGAGGCTCAAATCATCATCTACCAAATAGAGTAATGTCTCCGATGACATGTGTAGTCAACAACTTTCACGGCTATTAAAGTTTTTTCCGTAAAAACCTGATCTTCCCCTGATATCTTTTGTTGGAAGAAAGAAAAACCTTTTAAAATGGTGAAGACTGATAATTTATTTGAAAAGATACGGACCTCTCCTGTACGTAGTCCAAGGTGCTCAGACCACAAAGAGAGCCGAAGACTTGAAGAAAATTTTCCAGCCTTCCATGGCTTTCCTGCCATGTGCGAATCAACCAATTCTTTGTCCTCAATAAGTACTCCAATCTGAAATAAACAGAGGAAAACATTATGTTTACTCATGTTCACCATACTTCAATTCATTTCTGCCATAACATAAACGCCCTGTTAAACATCTTTGAGGCAACTGACACTTTCTCCTTCAGAAATCTATTTTCATTCCTCTACCAACTTATTTCTTTCCATTTTTCCTAAACTCCATCTTGGTATTACAATATGAAACAAGGATGGTAGCAACACATAGCACAAGAATCAACGAGGGAACTAAGTAAGACCTCAGAATCTCTCGAGCCAAGCAAACTACGGTCATTGATATTGGCAGATCCAATCAATGCTGCACGGTCATCTATGATCATGATCTTACTGTGAACATACACCTGCATGGATAGAGAAATATAGTATAGGCACTTACAGTTGTTATAAGCTTACAAACACAAAATATGGATAACTAGATACTATAAACATATGGTGCTGCAGTCACCACTAGATAAGAAGCCCTATGTATAGCAGACAAACAAAGCAGAACCACTGGTGATTGAGATGTTACCTGACTGGTTGCTACAGGACCATCCTCAGAAAGTTTACCATAAGCCCTAAGGCCGTAGAACGAAATATAATCATGAGCTTTCGGCCCAATAGTATTGTAAAGATTATGCAATATTGAGTTCTGTCCTCTGCATATGGTTCGATACTGCCAATGCATTATGGCTCTAACAGATGCTGCACCACTGTCATCAATACCTCCCTGCCAGGCACACAAGTATGTAAAAACATATACATCTATAAGAGCAATACTATTTGGAAGCTGAAAGCCCTTTAAGTAAAGACAAATTTAACCTGGAAACCTGGGAGGAGTGGTATGACAACAACAACCCTGAAAACCTTCTTCTCATTGTGGGCACGCAAAATTCTTTTGTACAATGCTTCCAAAACACGGTTTCTGATGGTGTCATCTCCTGAAAGGCCTGATATGAAGAACTGGTTCTGGAGATATATTGCAGACATAAGCAAAACTCAGAAAAAGAACTACATATGAAACTTACATATTATCAATTTCAAAAAAAAATCCCAGTTTTGTTAATCCAAAGTCTGAATTGATGAATTCATACAGGTGCCTATCGATAGAACTTGTCTTACCAATTGTGTTCAAGTCCACAAGATTATCCTCCAGCAGAGGAATTAAGTCACTGAATTTGAGAAAGGGACTAATCCCCTCAAAATAACAGTTTAATCTATTGCTTAAGCCAAGCCACAATAGTTGATAGGTAGGAAAGTCCTTCTCAATGTGTTAAGGGTATCCACTCCAGTGAGAATACAAGTGTTCAGTTATAACTCGATCGAGACTAAGGGCAACTGGGTGGTCAAGTCAACTAGGGGCAAGTAACACATTTCCACGATGTTTGACTCACAACTCAAATTACTTGTATATTTTTTCAGATGTTTCAGAATTCTGCCCAGTGGTTTCTAGTAATACCTACTGAACAATACTTAGTTCTAGGGGAAACTGATCGCAAATTGTTTCTGTCATGTTCCATTTGTTGCTAAAACCAGTTTGCTTATGGAATGGCTCATGCAAACCTTGAAGAAGAAAAAGCTTAGCATATACCTCAATATAGATGAAATGCTCGGCTTTGTCGATGAGAGACTGATAAGCAGAATGGATACTCTCTTCAACTTGGCTTGTTCCAGCAGACCACTGACTGACACTTCGTATGATCTGAAAAGGGAATTGTGAGTGTTGAGAAGAACTACATGAGCTTTTCAACTTGAGAAAAGATGTCAACGAATATAAGAGCTGAAGACAAGGAGGAAAATAACAAAAGAGGATCCCATGAAGATAGCACCTCCCTTATTGAATTGGGAGGTCAACAAATTACTTCAATCATAAAGAAACTTCCCTCTACTCATTTCAATGGAAAGATATGAGGAAAAATGAGACAGCATCTCTTGACAAACAAAGTCCAATAAAGTGGAGAACAATGCAGAAAAAAACTATATAATCTCATTATGAAACTTTGAAACTCGAATTTTGAGCTTCATCAGGTGACAGAAGGGTCAACTGCTAACAGAATATCACAGTAAGTGAATTAAGTTTAAATTGACATTTTGGTTAAAACTTAGACTTTTCTCCCCAAGTACTGACGCCCCTACATAAAACAACCTGTAATGCAAAACTACATATAACAAGCCGCAATGCCGAAGAAATTCACATCATTTTTTTTTTTGCAGACATTCAGCTTCAGCTACTCTTCTAAATTCTTTCTGATTAAGAATAATCAGAATAGTCCTGAGAAAAACGTTTCATGATCAATTGTCAATTTACTTTGCACCATGCCATTTAAAGAATATCACCCACCTGACAGCGGCATGAAGCTCTAGGGCCGACTTGCCCCGCCTCATCTGGGGACCCAACCTGATAACCACGCTCTTGAGTTTCCCACCACTCCGAATCTACAGCACTAGAATCACGCTGTGCCAAGGTATCTGAGGATTTTTTTGCAGGAATATCTAGCACATTAAGATCATCTACAAAACCCCTCATAGGAGTATCTCCGTCAACCGGTTCAATCTTGGACTTCCGAAAAGAGAAAGGAACATTTCTACTGTTCATTCCATTCGCTTTCCGGCCCCCACTTGAACCATCTTGCTCAACAGGCTCTTGAGGCAAAAGTAGAGGAATGTCCTGCAAAGATGATCTAGAAGAAAAAGAATCCTCTCTTTTGATCCCTTTAAAAGCGTCTTCTTCTTTCTTGGGTTCAATCTCTGTTGCCCTATGTCTTCCCATGTAGTGGGGTATAACCATGTGGTGCTGGGGCATAAGGAGTGGAATTGCATCTTCATACGGTGCTTTGTTTCTCTGAAATGAATAACTGGATGTCTTATTGTGATATCACAACAAAATTCAAAAGAAAATACAATAAGAAACATAAGAAAACCTTAGCATAGTTCCAGCGTTGAACAAAGTGTCTAGCCACGTCACGACAAGGTGGACCCCATAAAGCACAATGGACATCATGCCAAGGCATTCGAGGATATCTTCTACGATCTAACTCATCCTTCAGTGCATCCTCCCAAGAATTAGGTTCAGATTCCCTGAAGAAGAGTAACAAAAAAATAAATTATTGCATCGTTACTGAAAAAGCAACCACATTGTAGATTTCAACAGAGAAAACTTAGGAATGGATTTTCTGGTTTGTATCTGTTATCTCGAAAACTGTTAGTAGAAAGACACCCAACAATTTATTTTCAACAATCTATAATCAGAGCTAAAATTACTAGCAGGTTTTACACAAATACTCTGTTCCCATCACAAAAAGCCAATCGGCAAAACAACATATAAGAAGGTTTTACATCTCAGAATCTACTATTAGTCATGGTCATAATATCACTAAACACTCGTCACAAAAGTGGATTCATACCTGGGGTTGTAATAGTCCTTTCCAGGCCATATAAGAGGAGGATTATCCCCTATTCTGTGTTCAAATGTATCATACCGACCAAAACACAAGTCCAGACCACCGATAAAGCATATATGATGATCAACAATGACAAGTTTTTCATGGTGAGACCTACAATATGCAGAAATATAAAAAAAAATGTTTCTTAGACAGAAGTAGAAACCTCGGTAACTTTAATACCAAACCGAGAAAGACAAAATGAAAAGGAAACAAATTAGATATATTAGAAAGAATTTTCAATTCGGTTCTCCACCATCTCTTACCAAAGGTAGACACCACTAGAGAAGTGGTCAGGATAACGAAGCACTCTGACATTCTCATGAATGCTAAGAAGCTTACGCTTGCTATATACACTGTTGATCTTCAATGCCAGAGCAACCTCTTTGTATAGAAGGATGTAAATCTGTATAGCACAGTAAAGAGCTGATGAAAATGCATCACACTTTAATTAACGAAAGAAAGTTAAAGAAGAAAAATAAAGCAGGTTTCAGTTTTTGCCGGGACTATAACATGCAGCAGTTTAAACAAACTAGAACAAGAGTTCAATAAGCACTCATGCTGGTTGTCAAAGATATTATACAGATATACATATATAAATACATACGTACATATGTGAATACATAAATACAATTAGACAAGGATGACATTGACACCCAGAAGTATCTGTATCAATAGGTAAACCACACGCATCCAGAAACATGTGCATATATGCGTTTGCCAGAAAAAAAAACAAAGAACAAAAATATCCATAGGTTGTCCTTTAATAGGGAAATGATCCTGTACAATACAAGTCATTTTCTCTGCCAAGTTAAGAGAGTGACATTAATGCAGTTCTAACCATCTGATAGATAGAAAAGTGTTTTTGTGACCGCACAAAATATATTGCGTGTAAAATCTCTATTGCATATATCCTACCTAGACAAGCTTCATAATGAAGATATACAGAAGAAAATAGCTATTTACTACACAGAGGCCTTGCGTACCTGAATTCCTTGTTTAGCTTTGTCCTCCAGTAAAGTATCAAGTCTGGAAGATGCCTGGGACTGCAAAGGACGCCTAAGATAGAGTTCTGGGCACAACCACCAGCCGCATAAGAAAATCTACATGAAAAGTTTAGATTAGCCAAACAAACAACAGATAAAAAACAGAACAGAACTTATCTCTGTACCCTGAGATGAAAAGTGACAGACCTCAGATTTAGCATTTTCAATGGAAGAAGCAATGGCTTCAAAAGCTGCTCCACCATCAACAAACCACTGTGCCTGACTTCCATCATCTGTCAAACCCCTTGGAGGAGCAAAAGAGCCAAAGCGATGAGGATGACACCAGCCCTCGGGAGGTCTGAGACCGACATCATTGATAGCAGACACCCAATCTTTAACCTTTGCACCACTCTTGGCCCTTATTCTAATACTCCGATTCCCACATGTTACCTTAAAATTTTCAATTACCAGTCAAAAGAGAAGACGTTTCAAGTTTGGAGTTTCAAAATTTTTCAATTACCACTTTCTTCATCAACAGACCTGAAGTTATCTAGGCAACACAAAACGCGAGAAATTGAAGGATATTTCAACTATTAAGTTTCAAAAAAGACAGATTCAATAAAATACCATCATACTTGACAATGAAAGTATATTTCCAAATCTGTATATTACAGAACTCCAAAATTTACAAGAAATACGTTCAGTTTAAAGGGACACAATTGATGCTACAGTTACTATTCACATAGACAGATATAAATTACAAGATATATACATCAGATACTTCTGAGAGTTTACTATACAGTACATTCATCAAGAAGACAATCTGACAGCCTTTATATCATGAAAGCTCAAAAAATTTCAACACACATGATCGAGAAGTCCGAGTTTTAATAACCCAAACAAGTCTCCACAAACACATGCAAATTATCACGAAAGGTGATTCAGAAAGTGCACGCAGAGGCAGGAATAGTTTAAAGAAAGTAGTGCAGTAGCTGCAAACCTTAAATCCATGTCGCAAAGGATTACGCTCCTTCACTTCCGCTGCTAGTGATACATGCCCATCACCATTTCCATTGGAGGCTGGTAGGACATCAAAAACAATTATATCCAAAGGCTTTGCATCAAATGGATCTTCCAGTAAGGCAAGAAAACCTGGCTTTAGTACACCCCACACCTGTGGAAAAAAAAGCAGATACAGTTGTTTTTTTATGGATCTTCTAGTAAAACCTTATATACCATCTCCATTGATTAAGTTGACAGATGTTTTGATAGCATAAATGGATCATAAGAAAGACAAATGTGATATATGATCAACCATACACTGAAGTAAAAAAAAGAGCTATGCTAAGAGGGTGGGAGACTTCCTTGAACCCAATATATCACCAGCACGGCAAAATATTTTAGACAGATAACGTTTTTACAAACAGATTGTTCTCCAATGACTGCAAACTGTTGGTTCTATCAAAGGATACGCTATAAGTTATGCCTTCTTGTATATCAGTTGGCAATTAAATGCAAAACACTAGAGATTAGAGAAAGGGAAACTGGCAGATGGCAAATGTTGGAAAAGGAAGGAACATATCGATAAAGCTTGTATTTCTAACACAAAAAGCCAAAAAGACGATCATACTTTCATGCAAAAACTATAAACATATATTGATAACCAAGAAAATAACCATTCGGGATACCTTTTGCCAATTATCATTGCAGCAACAGAACCAACAGCATCTGCAACATTTCCTGGAGTCGTCATCTTTAGAAATTTTTGGTAGATGGTTTACCATAATATAGTCTTCTTTCAGCTTAGGGCCATACTCTGGTGAAAATGACAACTTTGAGACTTCCAAAAACCTGCAAACCTATATTAGGCATTTAGCATTTAACTAGCATGGAGAAAGCCTTAGGAATAAAGATTAAGCAAAGCTTGCAAGCACAAGAATATCTGGTTGATGGACACGTGGATTTCTAGCTAGATTAAAAGAGATAACCACTCTTGACATGACTTGCCAATAAACTGAAAAAAAGTAGCCACAAGCGGGAAAACCTTATCAAACACATACCTCCCGTGAATTGGCAATATCAAGGTTTCCTAGGAAATGGTTCAAATATTCTTGCATTGCATGCTTTGCTCTATCAGATATGGAGTGTTGTCTTCCCAAGGCAGGGCGAATGACTGGCAAAGCAGCGCTCGAAGGAACATCTCTGAACAAAAGGGCCTACTCGTAAAAAAAATGACATCCACTGGAACACTACAGCATACATAAGTCATGAAATCAGGAACACGCTGAATAGTCAGACCTGTTTTTGGCACTCTCATCTTGATGCAATGGAACTTCGTCAGCATCTTCGTCATCTTGCACAACAGGTGCATGATCCCCAATTCCTAGATTTTGAAGCCATTCTTTTACCTTTAACATGACATCCCAAGGAAACCAACATCAATAAGGCAATTAGAAGTGATCTAAAAACAGACAAAAACACAGCATGTAATACATTACTCTAGCAGCAAAATAACAAAAAACACTAGTAGCAATAGGCACAAGTATCCTAAAGAGTGAAAGTACAGAGAAAAGAAGACACATTTCAACACAAACCTGTTCCTGCTTCTCATGAATTTCCTCAATAAAAGCACGTTTCTTCAACGCAAAGTGCAAATAAAGTACTTGAGAAGCTTTCTTTATGAGCTGCCACTTGAACTGTCGATTGGAAACACTAAAGTTAGGACTGAAGGCTTCTCAAACACCCAAAAGTTAAAAGCTTAAAAGAAAAGTACGTCAATTCCATAGAAAAAAGGAGACAAAATGTACGCTGTTAGAACTGTTGAATGGGTTTCAAATGTCAAAAACAGAGTAAACCTACCATGAATTCACACTAGCAATATAGCATAAATACCTAGTAAGACTCCACGACTCAATCTGAGAAAGAAATCAGATTGTTATAGTAATAGCAGGAAAAAAAATCAAGACAATAACCAAGTATCCTATTAAATTGGTTTGTCTCTAACTGATGGACTTCATCTCTAACTGTAAAATCCATATTTTACATGCCCAATTGAACTAACAATATCGACCACCCATGAACAATTAAAGCTCATATTTGAAATTCCAGCGTAACATCTAACGAGTCTGAACCATCGAAACAGATAATCTGACACAACCCCGACATAAATTCTAACGAGGGAGAGAAAGATTAACCCGCCTGCTTGTAATGGCACTCAATGGTGTAAGACAAGAGCATAGGGCTGATATCGCCGGCGTCAGGCCGTGAGACGGAGACGATAATTGCCTTGGGCAATTCTTCGAAAATCCGACTAGACTCCGGTGTCGGAGCCGGAGCGAACGAGAACAACGAAGAAACCATCGACGGGAACTGCTCCGGCTGCATCTGGAAGTAGCGTCCACTGCCTCCGACGGATGACATCAACTGCTCAGACGCCATTCCCTGTTCCACGATCAGAAACCTCGAATCATCCAATTTGATCACAAAATTCTCGAGATCCAACGAAGACAATCTCAAATCCTTCTCTCACGTGATCCTTTTCCTTTCTCCTGCTTCTCCTTCAGCAATAATCAACACGAACATCAAATCATTCGAAGATCCACGGAGAAATATAGCAATAGGAAGAGAAATCTGGAGAAATAGTCCCGAGAGAGAGAGAGAGAGAGAGAGAGAGAGAGAGACGGGGTCGGTTTGTGTTGTGGTGGTACAAAGGAGAAGCTAAGTGGAAATGGAGACTTTTCTCGCCACGAGTACGGTTCCTCCTTTATTTGACCGGAACCCGGATTTGTCCGGTTTACATATAGACCCGGTTACTTCCGGTTCTCTTACCCATTTATGATTCTACAAAATGTCAATGCGACATGCACATTTTATGTCGATTACATTTGTTTCAGTGGTCAGTGGCCTCTCAATTTGAATTTATTTCTTATTCCTTTTTATCTGCTTTGGATGTACATAACATCTTTCCAGCGTATATACAAGTCACAGAATTCGTAAAACACAGTCAAATGAAAAAAAAATATTAACTAAAATCACAAGATTAAATTTTGTTTTCTCAATTATAAAGACTGGTTTCTTTATAAAATTAGCAAATCAATATTGACCGACCAAACTCATAAAAGAATGTAATGAGCCATCTTCTGGTTGGCGTTTTCTATGAATGGGAACAAACGCGAGCGACTCGCGGCGGTGGCGACTCGCGTGAGCAAGACGTGTCGGCTGACGTCATTACTTGGGAAACCGCGGTCGCTATTGCAAACGGTTTCCCGCGACCCAAACGCGCGTTTCCAACGCAAACCAATGAAGAAACATATAGCAGAAATTGAAAAAGGGAAAAAAGGCCTGATGGGTCATCAATCATACAAAGCAGTCACTGCAAGATCCCAGAAAGCTTTGAAACACGAAAGAAATCTCTCTCCGACAGAGCACAAAAAAGATTGAAGAGGAAGTATTCTTCTACAAAAGAAAACTTGATCAATGACAAAATATTATCGAGGTCCAACCTCGAGGGAGGATCAACTGCAAAATTTCACACGATATCACTTCTTTGACTTCTTAGCTCCCCTGCACAGAAACAACGATTAATGGTTACTCGGGTAGTGATGACCCGGAACTATGAGAAACCGAGACCTCAAATTCACCAAAGTTCTTAACAAAATCTCTATCACTACCTCCTTATTACTTTACTACAAGAATACTACGTTATAAGAAGGGAAGAGACAAGGGCTTCTTACTCTGCCACTTGTTGAGGTGCTGATGCAGCTGGTGCCTTCTCTCCAGGTCCCTAGAGATGCCAAAACATAAGCAACTAAACAAATATATACTGCTGATAGCCACCCGAAACAAGTAGTGGGATTAGGAAAGAGCAAACTGCCATCCATTCAACCCTACAACCGACTAAAATGTACATATGGTTCTTAGTCTTCTACTGTAATTTTACCTGAGCCAAACGCTCCTCCCTCCTGGCCAACTTCCTCTCCCTGCTAGCCTTGTTCTTTGCACGCTTGGCCTCAAACTGGTCAGAGAGGGTCTTTTCTCTCGCCTTCTCAGCCTTCGACTTGTGGATGCTCTCCATGAGGACACGCTTGTTCTTGAACACATTACCTTTCACCTTCATGTACATGTCGTGGTACATGTGCTTGTCAATCTTTTTGGCCTCACGGTACTTTCTCAGCAGACGCCTCAACACCCTCATTCTCCGCATCCACAGAATCTTGGTCGGCAGCCTTGCCTCCCTGGTACCCTTTCTCTTACCTGAAAATCAAATGTAAACCTTCCCTGCTAAGTTTCTCCGATTGCAAATATACCTCGAGTGATTCTTGTGCGACAATCCCTCACCGAAGTAGCCATCAAAAGAGTGATTTTGCAAAAATCATTTGAAGACCATTCAATAAAATGTTTCTGTTTGAACTTACCATATCCAGAGTGACGACCCTTTCTCTTGGCCTCTTTCATCCTCCTCGCACGAGAACGTGAGTGGATCTTGGTGGGCTTCCTAATGATGAAACCATCCTTCACTAGCTTTCTGATATTCTGCCCTGTTACAGGTAACCACAGGTAAGAAGAATGCCAAACTCCCTACAGCATTAAGACACCGAGAAACCCCGAAAGATCAAGGCGCCTATTTGGTTTATCAAGTTGGCAGAAGAGACGCTTAAAGAATAAAACTAGCAAAAAAAACATAGAGAAGCATTACAAGAAAAAACCCAGCTGCAAGGTCAATTCCTTTGATTCGTGGCTAAACAGTTCAAATGAATTGGAGGCAAGGAAACTATGCAGAAGGTACAACATGCAAGTCCTGATGGCTACAAACATCAGTTTCAAAACTGAACTGTCAAACTATCATACATACATGAATATATTTGTATATCTGAGCGCACACATAAGTCAATTTACATACATACATAAATATATATATATATATATATTATCCTGCACAAAGATCCCAATTTCTCGGTGACACCGTAGACCGTACATATCCTATATGAGTACCTTTCAGAAAGAAAATGAGGCATCGGGAACTTTACCTTTCAGTCGACCTACATCTCATCGACAAGCATCAAATTCTAATTGACCAAATTACATTGACAAAGACCAAAAAAACAACATCATATCCATGAAACAACCTAATTTCCGTCGAACATAGAAAACCCAGTTACGAAATGAGCTCTCTCGTTCCAATTCCTTCTGAAATGAACTTCCTGAAGTATCGGATTCGACCAAATAAGCTGCAAGAGTGCGAGAACGGAATAACTTACTGGAATTGGCCATGGAGATCTCGCTGACTTCATTGGGATCCAACCAAACCTTTCCTTTCCCACATTTCAGCACACTTGCGGCAAGCCGCTTCTGAAGCTTCAGCGATACCATGGATCCGTTTCCTCCTCTCCGTTAAAGTCTTCGTCAGGGAGAGAAACAAAGGCGACAGGATATAAATCGAGGACGATGAGTTTTAGGGTTTTTTTTTGGTTCATCGCACCCTCTGATTGAAAAAGAGGTTACTCGTTGGTCCAAACCAGGCCCCTTTTAATAACATTCGCGCCCAAATTCGGCCCATTAATGAATAATTCGATACTGAAACTCTGATCTTGTATTGCTATTGATGAATAAAAAACAAATTTAATATAATAATTAATGCAGTATTTATAGAAGTGGTTTTCAAGCAAAATACAATATTTATCTTATAATATGATACGTTAATGCATTGATTAAAAAAAAATCAACATTTCATTTGTTCTTCACACACACGAACACGCACGCCATATATATATGGTATTATGGGGTAATGTGCAGTTCCTAAGATTTTGCCAACCGGGTCTCGGCTAGGAACACGAATAGGGTTGGCTCCTCTCGTCTGATGGTGAACATTTTGATTCGGAAATTTGATCCAAACCGAAATCTACCGAAATGAATCGAATAATATTTGGTATTAATTTGGTACAATTTTTGTAGAACTCAATAAACCGTTTTCGAATCGAAAAGTTAAAACACCGAATCAAATCCTACAAATAATATAATAAAAAAAACCCTGAATTATTCACAATCACCTATGAATTGAATTTAAGTGAAAATATCAAGTTTTTTTTCTTCTTCTTTGGTACACATATAACAAAACCAAAAACGAAATCAAAGAGAAATTGGGTGGATGGCACCAACCGAAGAAGAATGGCGAAATCTATGAAAGAGGAGATGTTATAATCCAAGGAAGGTTAAGTTTCTTTGTCATGTATGGATGGGCAGTCGTATATGCCGCATAAATCCTCCTATACCGATATGATGGAATTGCAAGGATAAATTTAATTTTCTCATGTATTATATGTATTTATGCTTGTTGGTCCTCAATGTATAATCTTAAATATAAATTCCAAATTCTTCAAAGTTGTCAAATCCAGAAAGAGGTTTTAAACTTAAAATGATTCATGTAGCATTGCAAAAGACTATCATAAGAACAACTCTCAACATGGGACAGTAACAACCATATTGTCCAAAGAAGACCACACGACACAAAACACACATACATACATTACACGACCTAACTACAGCCGGGGAGAGAGAGTGTTGATCGTTGCATTTTTTTGAAAATCTTTACCTACCGTCCGTTCTTGTCTATTGAGACGAGAGAGTGTCCTTCACTTTAACCCGACTTGAACAGCAAAACCGCTTTCTGATCGAGGTAAAAGTATACGAAATGGTTTGTCTCGTGCGTTACATATGAACCTGCAAAACAAGATACACAAATGACGATGAGATTACAAGGATCTAACACGAGTAAGAGTACTTGTGTTCAGGATGCCGAAAACACATGTTAGTCATCATTCCCGGATTTGCTAAAGCTCTGTTTGATACATCAGAGTAGTAGTTGGAATAGATTTGATTTCTCTATCAAAATGTGATAAGAATAGCACTATTAGAAGACTAACCCCATCCTTTCTCAAACAGATTTACAAGGTTTTAATGGGTATCCATCTACGCCGGTGAATTAGAATGTGGTTATCATAAAAGAAAAGCCATACCCAAGATCCGTAACAGTAAGGGAATCTAAAGTTCTAAACCACAACAAGAAGATAGAAAAGAACCCTAGAGACTATACTATATGCAAGGTTTTGGTATGAACCATCATAAAGAAAAGTTTATCAGACAAAGGGGCATTACCGAAGTTGCGGCCAACAATGCAATGCCAAGTAGCTCCATGCTTTTTGTCAAACTCCTTCTTTATATGTTCAGCTATATCCTTCTCCACATTGAACTTCTCGAATGCCTGCAAATCAGATGGAGTTTCCGATCTTGAACTTAAACGTAAATTCAGATCCGTGGGTACATAATTGTTCCAGAGAAAGTTCAAGAAACTCAATTCAAACACTCCCCGATAAGCTATCGAAAACAGACATTGGCATTACACAGTCAAGACTTTCACAACAAACACAAAGTAGACACACATTCCCACAAGCTCTCCCGAACTTGAGAGGGAAATTCAAAGCGGCACACAGAAAGAGCTCCAGCAGATGGAATCGAAATCCCAAAAATCCGAACAAGGACATATAATTCAGACAAGGAACATCCAATCGAACTTCAGATAATGCGATGAGATTTAAAAATGGATCACTTTACCAAAACTTACTAAAACCAAATCAAACTAAACAACACACGGATGAGTTAAGAACAGACATTCCGAGGTCCAGCACAACTATTTACACACTAAGATCAAGATCAAAACCCCAAAATTCGAAGGACCACGAACATAATACAGATGAAAACAGAAGGATGCAGGAAGAGAGTGTGAGCGAGAGCCAAACCGAGATGGCGATGTCGATAGCCTCCTTCTGCATATCATCCTTCATGTCGGCACTTTTGATGACTGCTTTCTTCCTCGGCGGAGAAGGATTCAAAGAGATTATGTTCGTCGCCGTTTCCAACGGAGGAGGCACGGATCTCCGATCATCCGATAAACTTTTTGACATCGGAGCTCCGTACAAGTCCTTCTTCCTCAGCCCCTCGCTCATCTTCCTCTACTCTGATTTCCCCCCCTTTTTTTTCTTAAATTGTCTTTCTTTTCTTTTTTTTTCTCTTCGATAGCAACTCTACGCAGAAAGAGACCAAAACAAAGGGAAAGCAAAGCGCACAGGCTGACGAAGAGTGCACACATATATACTCGGAAGTTTTAGGCCTATCCATTGAAACGGTGTCGTTTCCTTAGCTTTCCAAATTACAAGGTATCCCCAAATATTCTCAATTTTGTCACGGACACCCCTAATCGTGGAATATACTTTGATAAAACTAAAACTACACGGCAAGTATATTTATATGTGTATCTGTGTACATATATTTACAGTTCAAGCCCGTCAGTAAAAAACTATGGTGAAGAGAAAATATTCAAAAGCTTTGAGGCGTATTTTGTGGAGGGGTGAAAGGTGGATCCGTTGAGGATCATGTATACATGAACCAAGAAGAAAAACTGTAATCCGCCGATGTGGGACTCTTTTTACCAAAAATATTGAAAATTTGAATTAATCTAAAAAAATAATCAATTTTTTAAATGAATATTTTATAGTAAAAATGACATTTGAATCAAATTAAAATTATTATAATGGCCCGTGTTAAATCTAACATAGACCAAGTTACATTTCTATAAAGAAAATTTCTTTTTAGTTATATAGACTAAGTTTTATTTCATTCGGGTTGAGATATATCTCATTCTGAATCGAAGTCGTAATCGATCAACTAATCTTAAAGATTAAAAAATTGAAAGAATTAGTTGGTTCACCTAAAGGAGGGTAAGGCCTCCCAGTGACAGACCTAGGATTATATTTGATAGGGGGCAAATTATAATTTTAACGTTTTAATATGGGGCATTTCAATTTTTATTTACAAATTTATAAAATTTATAAAGAAAATTAAATTTTTTTAATTGGGCCCCATTGCCATCAACGTGGATCCGCCACTGGGCCTCCCCTCCTTGTTTCTTACTCTTTGAAAGCAGTCATCCTTTTGTGTGTGTAGAGCTTGCGTGTGTAGGGCGCCAGTGGGTATCCCAAGTTTTTAGAGTTCGATCTAAATCTCGTCGGGTTATTAGAGGTAACTCAAAATCTCGTCAGATTATTAGAGGTAATGTCCCAAATTTAGTTCGACGATATCTAATATCCGCGATTTGAATACCCGTGATACATGATCGGGTATTCGTAAAATCTAAACCCGTGAATATTAAATAATTTTTTTTAAATGAATCAGATATAATCTATTTATAGAAATATTTAATATCAAATCATATAAAATTGATCCAACATCATCCAAAATATATAAATTAGAATCTAAATTTACAAAAATCAACAAATCATTAACTAAGTTTTCAAATAAAAATATACAATATTTTGGTAAAGAAATATAAAACGTAAACATACGATTAGTCAAAATAACTAATAATGAAATACTGATACTCGAACACGAATCTGAACCCAAAACTCAGACTTTTTATCTCATAAGACATGCCATCTATCTCATTTGTTTACGAATAGTTGAATTTTTTATCTCATAAAACCCATCATCTATCTCATTTGTTTACGAATAGTTGGATTCCGATACTTAGGAGATAGATTATCCGAGAAGATAGATTATCCGAAAATCTGTGGATCTCGCGTAAGAGTGTCAATTTGGGTCCGAAGTCCAAAGCCTGGTCTGACCCAACCCGAAAATTAGCGGATTTCGTACATAAGTTTTGTGGCCTGAAAAAAATCAGGTTTCGGGTCGGGCTCGAATCGGGCTTTGGATTCGAGTCGGACCGATCCGAAAATTCAATATTAAAAAAAAAGAAAAAAATTTTACAAAGAGATTTATGCAGATCGGCCCGACCCGACTCGAGTCCGGTATATATAGGGTCGGACTTCCGATTTAATTACATAGACCCGAAAAAAATAACGCCAGTCTGAACCCGAACCCGAAACCTTCGGACCAAGTGTGGACTTAGACTGGATCAGACCGAACCGCGCGATTGACACCCCTAATCTCGCGTAAAAAGACCACCCTAGCAGAGAGGCAAGTAAATCCACTATCACCCTTTTACCTACGAGGCAGCAGCCTCATTTCCCGCCTATGCATAATGGAAGTGGGCATCTCGATTCAAAGAACCAAAACCGGACCAGGACAAATATTAGTATAATTTTTGTAAAATCGGACAAATCATTCCCAAAACCGAATCAGCAAAACCAATCTAGAACCGATAAATACCAAACCAAAAACCAAATTATCCAACCTTATGTACCAATGCATATGTAACTGTCAATTTTTTTTATTCTTGTTTAGTACTCATATAATAAAATCTTTACGAACCGGACCGACGGTTAAATCAAAACCGAACCCTCTAATTTGATACAATTTGTATAGAATCAATTAAATAGTTTCGGAACCAAACCGTACAAATGCAGAAGGGAACGCCCAGGCCTCTGTCTGTCTTTCTGGTGTGGCATTAGAAGCGTCGAATGTCCTTGGGGGGTTTGAAGTGGATGGGATGAGATTCCGGGGTGGCCTTCTCATCTTCCTTCCACATTTTAATGGTCTTATCCGCTTCACATGTCACCAATCTTGATCCTGTTACATCATACCCCACTGCGTATATAGCCGCCTCACTCTCCAATGACCCTATTCATTTATTCATTCATTCCCCATCCATCAATACAAATAACAACAACGAAATCATCATCAGCCTTGGTGGTGGTGTGGTTAGCTATTTATTTAATACAAGACGAATGAATGATGGATGGTTGCTGCATGCAAGCATACCTGGTTGGACAATGGTTTGCGCCTGCTGGAAATTGTGTCCACTCTTCCAATCCCAAAACCATAAGCTCCCATTGTCACCTGTCATCCCCAAGAGGAGGAAGAACCCCACCTTTTCATTATAACAAATCACCAAGAAAAAAAGAGTTTAGGTTTACTTGCCTCCAGTGACCATTACGCCGTCCTCATTCACCGCCATTGTGTTAATTATGGTTTTCTGCTGAGAACTGCTCATTGGGGGGGGGGGG